AAAAGTCCCTAGACCACAACAAAAGGATTCCATGCAATCCACTGGGAAACCTCACATTCTGCATTTCTCTCCTGGCCGATGCTGCAGTCTCTGAGAAGCCTACAGTGATGAAACCTCTTTATCTTTATTGAGACTGCTTCCCAAATGTGTTTTTGCAAAAGTAAATTTTTTCCCTAAAATTTACAAATGTTCCTCAGGGAAGGCATTGGCGGCGTGCCGTGCGTGAGCAAGTGCCCTGAATCGAAGACAGTTGTTCCCCTTCTGCCTTTTGTTTTTGTGGAACGCACAAAATATGTCTTAATTCATAGGAGGAGGTGAAGGCCAGGGACAGCCTCTTTCCAGAGAGACTGCAAAACAGCCCCACTTTGCATGTCTCTGCCCTGGGTTCCTGTAATCTTTGGTGAGGAATGAAGAAGCCTCCTTGGCCCGTGCGCCCCTGTGGACCTTCCCTTCCCAACAGCAGTTTCCAGTTCCATCTCATTTGCATTGTTTATAGTCTCCAGATTTATTTCTGGCTGACAGGAGGGAAGAGGCTCTCCAAGGAGGGCGAGGTAATTTAATATGGGGTGAAATGAGCTTGTGAGGCTGATTAGGGAATCGCTAAAACCTGTTAGAATAGCTGGAATTAGTCTGTTCCTATTAAAAACCGCTTTGCCGTTCCTGCCAGGAAGCACTCCCTCCTGAATCCTCTCCACCCACTCTGGCACCAGCGGTGGCCCTGTGGCCCTCCTCCAGGCCCTGTTCCGTTCCCTGTGACACTGTTAAGCACATGGCATCGGAAGGAGCTGAATCTGTTTTCTCCATCAGCTGGTGAGCTCCAAAGACTAAAAACAGACTTCTCCCTCCTCTGCAGGAGAGGGCCAGGCCCCTACCTGGTGCTTGTACCTAGAGGATGTCACAGCCAGAGAGATTGGGGCAGCATCGCGGGCCAGCACGCCTTCTGTCCTGAGGAAGATGGTCTCAAGTCCTTCTGAATCACCGTTGAGCCCTGCATCTAGGCAGAGATCAGCACAGGGAATGCTAGCTGAGCCCCAGGATGAGCCTACCTCCTGTGTCAGTGCTGAGGGCGGCCATAGCTGAGGTGGTCCTGGTGGCATTAAAAACAAGCCATAGGGAGCAGATCCCCTTTTCCTGGGAATGGAGTTTTGCTTTTCAAGTCCAAATCTAACAGCAGACCACTCAATAGCAGCTGCCCAGCCTAGCCAGCAAAGGTGCTTCTCTGCCTCCTAATTTGGTAGCCACGCACTGGTTAGGGAATGCGGTGTCTCCACTTAATGTTCGGGCTAAGCCTCTGCTGCCACCAGGCATATCACCGCTCCTCTGCTAACCGAAGAGCGGGGGCCCCAAGTCGGGGTATCACTGTGCCGCACCCACGTGTCAGTGTGGCGAGAGAGCGTCACAAGACTTCTCAGGAGTGGGAAGCCTAAGGACCAAAGAGCATCATGGGTTAGCCTATTTAAAATCGAAATGTACATTCTTCCTGCCTCAGCCTCCCAGTGTTGGGGTTACAGGCTTGGCCACCACCATACCACCTTATTTTGTGTCTTTTTAAAAAAAAATTATGAAAACGTAGAACGTGTTCATTAATAAAACTTTGGACGGGAAACCATTCAAGATAGAGGAAAATTCGCTCATAAGCCCATTATATAAGGTTTAAATTAAACAGTAGCAGTACCCCTTTCTTCCCTGGACTTTTCGCTGAAGGTCAAGCGCACTATCTTCTAGTGTTTTTCTCTTTTTAGAAAACATAGTTTATATGAGTTCATTCCTTTACATGGCATTTAATTACTCATTCATTCTCCAGCGGGGAGTGTGACTCTCATCTCCAGTCTGGAATCTGGTGTAGGGCTGGCAAAGTCTACACACGGCAGAGGATTCTCTGTCCATGAATTCTGACGTTTCTGAAGCTCAAGCCCAGAAGTAGTGCAAAGATGGATGATTTAGATTGACAGAGTGACCACGGAAGCACCCTGCAGAGGAGGATAAGAGTGTCCTTTCCCTGCCTGCTAGCATCTCTAGACGTGTCCATCATCCCGTAAGGCGTTATCCGTCTGATATCTGGTGTGAACTCAGAAGAGATGTGACATTTTCAATCATGTTCTTTAATGGGAAATTCCATTTGAGGGCACACAACGTTGTGGGTCTTTCCCTCTGAACTGCTTATTCCTAGATGCATCGTCCCAGGATGCTTTGTGCCTTTCCTGATTTCTTCTTGGCTGTCTCGATACTATTGTATTCGGACCGCTATGTGTGTTGCTACCATTGCCTTCTAACCCGGGCTTACCTTTGGCTCTCCTCTATGCTGTCTTCCAGCCCCCTGAATGTTTTGGCTGCTCAGAAACAAAACTATGCTTATGTCTTTCCTCTGTGGGGCTTGCAGAGCTGGAACTCAAAGATGTCCCCAGGCTTCTCCAAGGATAAAGAGTTTTAACAGCCTGGGTGGAGGATGCTGTGCTCTTGATTTTGTTGTTTCTTTCTTGAATTTTTTTTTTCTTTCTCTAATTTTTTTTTCTTTCTCCACAAAGATTCTCTGGCAGCTGATCCTTTATTTATTTATTTTTTCTCTTTGCATGTGTTACTTTTCGGCTGACCTGATCCAATCACAAACCATCATTTCATCTTGTATGGTCTATAAAGGTAAACTGTAGGACCTTCCAGTGTTGTCTATCCTTGCCGAGTGGTGGTGGCACACACCTTTAATTCTGGTATTCAGGAGGCAGAGGCAGGTGAATCTCTGTGAGTTCGAGGCCAACCTGAAATACAAGAGCTAGTTCCAGGACAGACACCAAAAGCTACCAAGAAACCCTGTCTCAGATAAAAATAAATAAACACCTTGCCCTGTGCTTTGGGAGGATGCATCAATATTTAGAAGACATCATTTCTCCTGAAAGTAAATTATAAATTTAACCAGGCCTATTAACTATATCATCAAACTATTTTATGAAGTTAGGTAAGTTGGTATTAAGTTTCTTTTATGTGGAAAAACACATTTAAGAGTAGCCAAGAAAACCCTACAGGGGATGTACTGGAAGACATTAGAACACAGGGCAGTGCCTGTAGTTCAGGTAGCATGGCACTGGGGCTGGGCCTGATTAGTGACTGGTGGAATAGAAAAGAAAGTCCATAATTAGACCCAATCATGCATGGGGACTTGTCACAGGATGGAAGTGGTATTTCAGATCATTCTACTCTAAACAAATATCAGACAACTGAAAAGTCACATATTTGAAGACAAACGGGTATCTATCTCATACCCTAACGCAAGAGTAATTGAGTGTCTGAGCAGCTAAATGTAAATGTTGAGGCCAGGAAAGCACCAGGGGGAAGCAAGGAGGAGCCATTTTAATCTCTGCAGGAGAAAGGGCTTTCTAACGGTGGCTCGGACACATCATAAGCAAAGGTAGAAGACAGAGGGCCACGTGGGAGAACATACTTACAGCATCTTTCTCTGCACAGACAGCTCTTTTCAAGTGAGACCCCACGTGATAGTGTGAAGCTATAATCCTATCTCCCAGGAGGTGGAAACAGAAAGATAAGAAGTTCAAAGTCATCCTTGGCTACATGTGATGTTCAAAACCATCCTGGGATATAGCAAACATGTCTCATAAACAACATTGGAGAACAGGTCACCAAAATCCCAACAGAACAGTGGGGAAGAACCTGAACAGAAAATTCATTAAAACTCCAAATGCAAAAGCTGTTCCAAACATGAAGTGGTGTTCAAACGTCACACTGATGACTGAAACGCAAATTACGACATCTATTCTCACCTGTCAAACTGACAAAAACTGACGGCACATTCTGTTGGCCAAGAACATGGAGGAACAGACTTTCAGACATCAGTGGCTGGAATGCAAACTGGTACAGCCCGTCTGGAGGGAAATTTATCAAAACAGAAAGAATATCTATAGTTGACTCAGCATTCCCATTTCTAGATAACTGGTACCCTACAGGTACAACTCCAATGATTAAAAAAATTATACATGCTAGAATGTTCATTGTTTCTAATTCCACAACACTTGAGAACACCTCACCATTCACATACGAGAGATGGTTGGGTAAACATGGCGAATCAACACAATTAAGTGCTGTGCAGTCCTGAGAATGAACTGGGGAAGGGCTTGCTCTGTGGACAAATCTGAAGGGTTTCTAAGATGTACTGTGTATGTCTGTATACATGTATGTTCATGTCTATGCAGGTACATGTTTGTGTGCATGTATGTACGTATATGTATGTGGAGGCCAAAGGGCAGCCTCAGGTGTTGTTCTTTGGGTATCATTCACCCTGTTTGTTCGCTTGTTTGTGAAAGAGTCTCTCAGTGGCCTGGAACTCACCAAGTAATCTAAGCTGGCTTGTTGGCAAGCCCCAGAGATCTGCTCATTTTTGCCCCTTCAGTGCTGGGATCACAAGTTTGCACCAACAGATGTGGTGGTGTATGATTTTAATCTCAACATTCAAGAAGCGGAGGCAAGAAAGATCTCTGTAACTTTGAGACCAGCCTGGTTTATGCAAGCTTCAGGACAGCCAAGGCTGCATAGTGAGACCTTGCTTTAAACAAACAAGCAAATAAAAACCAACAACAAGAACAAAAAAATGACCAACAAGTGCACGCCACTTCTGATGGTCTTTGGTTCCTTGTCAAGGGAAAGGTGAATTGTTTGCAATGTCAACAAGACCGACTTAGTCTTCCTATTGGTGTTTCACTCAACTCCCTCAGCGAGATTGTGCATACGTAGAGATGAGTGACTTCCATCTTACCTTCCGTCACTGCCTCTGTGCCATCCACAGATGCAGAGGGTGATGGACCATGACATCATCAGGCACTGTCAGGCAGGGAGGCACAGGAAGTGGTGTGGGGCTGCTGAGCAGCTGGCTACCTTCCCAGCTCTGAGTGACAGCAATGGATCTGTAGTCTCTCCATTGCGTGAATGAAATCATGGGTGCTTTCCCCACTTAGTAACTTTGGGCTTGTTGATGATTCTGGCATGTCTCATTTCAGGAATGACCATCCCCGAAGAAGACGCTGATGTAGGGCAAGGCAGTAAATATTGCCTTGTGGCCATCGGGAGGCTCCAGGTAGGCAAAAAGCCTGTCGTGAGGGCTTGTTACTGTGAGAAACAAGAGACTGAGTTTGGGTGCCTCTTCATTTGGAAGTATCATGTACTCAGTATTTGTGGGGTTATGTGCCTCACTTTGGGTACGGATAAGGCTGAGCCTGGAGATAAAAGAAGGGTACCATGAAGGATACACCACAGAGGCCTTACTGTGCTGAGGGTTAGCAGACCGCTCTCCCACCTACAGGTTACTGCAGAAGTGAGTTCCTCCAGAAGTCACATCCTTGATAACCACCTTTATAGTCTCCCACGGGCCTTGTGGGACAAAGTTCAAACTCATCATTCCACCCTCCTCTCCTTCCCTTCTTCTTACTTCACCACATCCTCTTGCCAAACCACACTGTTCCCTTCCCATGACGCCACCACTTGGTTCCCCACCTCCATGAGTATTTTCGAGCTGTTTCTTCTACCTTGCGTTTCAGTTGCCGTCCTGCTCTCAGCGTTCCTTCTGTGTACTCCTGCCTTCACAACCCTTGAGACCCTAACTCAGTACCAATCTCCTTAGTTCACACTAGACGATGCCGCTCCCTCACAACACACAGTTCCCACCTCAACTTCGTTTGCCTGGCAAGGGCCTCTGGGGTAGGGTCCCTGTCCCGTTAAAAAGTGAATTCACTTGAGGCTGGGGAGATGGTTCAGTGTTAAGAGAGTTGGAATATTCTTCCAGAGGACCTCGGTTTGATTCCTAGCACCCACATGACAGCTCACAACTGTCTGCAACTCCAATCCCAAGGGGAATTGATGCCCTCTTCCTCAGGCACCAAGCACAAAGGTGGTACATAGACATACATGCAGGCCAAACACTCATACACATTAAGTAAATAAATAAAACTTAAATGTTTAAATTTACCTGGTATCTGCTATACAGTAGCCACTCAGTCGACTGGCTCATTCATTCTTGTTTTGACATTCACGGTATTTTCCAAACTGATGAAGGGAGGCCTGGCTGACATAATCCAGAAGGCTCGTGTTCCACATCTTTGGTCTCCTAAGTCTGACCATTTTCGAACAAATGAATAAGCGGTTCATTCACTTAAAACAAACACTGGGTCTTCACTGGGGTGTGAAACAAGAATGGTTGGGTGAATTCAGTCCAGAAATACGTACCTTTTGAGTCTCTACACCAGTTGCAGAGAGGAAGAAGAGAGAGGAGAAAGTGGCGGCACTGGGCACCCAGCCATCCCCCAGCATAGCGGGCAGTATCTCTTTTGGCACCACAATTATAAATTATTCTAATTATCCACGATCTCCACTGACTAATAAGGGAACGAGTGCTCAGAAATGTAAAGAAAGTGGCCAAGCATTGGTTAAATCCCCCACGCTCATCTTTCCAGTGGCACAGAAGGATTTGTGTGTGAGCTTCAAGGTCCTCACCTGCGCCGTTGTCCACCCTCTGTTCCAGGTGACCAGCTCTCCTGTGTGCATGGACATGAGCGGCATGTCGGTGCCCACAGAGTTCCTGTCCCGGCATAACTCCGATGGGGTCATCACATTCGTGGACCCAAGATGCATCAGCGTGATTGGCTACCAACCCCAGGTCAGTGGCTAGCCCTGAGCTCCCAAAAGCTGGTGGAAGATTTAGCTTCTCTCAAAATGTGTGCATCTTCCTTGTTCAAGGTTCAGCGCCATGACCTCTTGGAGAAGTCACGTCAGGGTCTAGATTCTCTGTTCGTCTAGACTGACACCCTTCCCAAGGAAAGCTGTTCATCGTGAGACAGCACCACGTTAAGTGGACTGCTTGTCTCCGGTCCTAGCCCTTCTGTGGCTCTCACTGAGCTTTCACAAAGGAGGGGGAGTTGAGTCTGTGTCACAGTGCCCCAGGGATGTTGCTTCATCCTTTCTACTTGGAGGCATAGTTTCAAGTCTTTGCTCCAGATCCTTCCTGAAAAATTAGTGGCATGGGAAACGCAGGAGCCACCCAGGTGAAGCTGAGGAACCTCAATCACTTGTAGTGAAAAGCTGTGTCCTAAACTTAAGGATCTCTACCAGAGGAGACACTTAGGGACAAGTGTGGGAGGATGGAGATGTTACCAAATGAGCACTGATTTCCTAGGTGTGATCATGTTTTGGCTTTGTAGTATGCTGACATTTATTATATTAATGATAAAAGACTTTGTGAAGTGTTATAAGATCTACAACTTATTGTCAGTTGATCTAGCTAACACACACACACACACAAACAGAAAATTCCCAGCTGCATTTGCGTATGGACATCTATGAAGAAAAAGAAAATATTAGTAACATATTGACAATTAAATCAATATAATGAACATGCAAGTATTTATTATATATCCTTTTACCTTTTCTATAGTTTTTTGAATAAAAAAGATCATTAAAAAAGAAGGGTTCTTTGTTCTAAGAAACAGACTTTGGGAAGCTTTGAGATGTGTTAACATGAGTTATTTTAATTGCTTGTGTATTTTTTTATTTGCTTAACTTTTTATCCATGCTGGAATCAGCCCTGTGTGTAGACTTTAGAACTAGGCACAGTCCTAACCAGAAACATTAGAGACTGCCTATAATTCTGAAGCTAGATTCGTGCGAACTGCGACCTCACCTCTCAGAGAGAGTAAGGGAAACGCCGATGGCCCTTACATTTCTGGACAGATCAGTGCATCCTGCAGCAGTAGCTTCCCGAGCATCTGTGTGCTCCTGGGTGGGACATAGGAGCTGCCCCTTACCGCTGAGTCAGCTCGCTTCAAGCATCTCATGCTGATGCAGGTCCGCATCCTTGAGCTCACATCTTTTGCTGTTTAAGACACTTCCCTAAAGCGTGCTCAAGTTGCCCTTTGATGGGTTTTTTTGTATTCTGCTCCCATTCACTGTCAAACACCCGAGTTAGAGATGAAGACTGGATCTCTCAAATAACACCTGGGCTAGTGAAGGTCAATAAGGAACAGGCTTGAGGCAAGCCCAGTTATTGTGGCCTCGTTCAGCCACCCTTCCACAGTTCCGCCGTAAGGGGTTCCGCCCTTACACAGTTTTAGTTTTCGTGGGCAGCAGTGTCTGTTCTTGAGCTTACTTTGGATGTTTTCAAAAATATGTTGATTGCAGTTTGCCTCTCGAAGGCAAACAGGAAGAAAGCCATGTTGTGAAGCTGCTGATCTAGCTCCCAAGCAAAATTAGAAACCAGTGAGGACTGAGCCAGGGGGGTTTAGAATGGATGCAGACAAGAGGAGGGGCCGTTCTATGTTTAAGACTACGGTGGGGAGGCAAGAGGAGGTAGCCTCGCAGGGATGTAAGCAATACCTTTGTCTCCGGGGTGGGGGGTAAGAGATGGAGAGTGGTCTTTGGGGTTATTAAAACTATCTGTCCCCTTTAGGACCTTCTGGGAAAAGATATTTTGGAATTCTGCCACCCTGAAGATCAGAGCCACCTACGGGAGAGCTTCCAGCAGGTACTGCCCATGGCTGCTGCTGCCGCCTAGCGACCTACCTGGTGGGGAGGCAACGGCAAGAGAAATGGAGGCTACTGTGAGCTACCAGGCTGGGAAGTGCCCTCCTATAATGTCACCCACCCACTCTGGGCAAGAGTTCAGGCAAAGGGAGTGAGGTACACGAGGAAGTCATTGCCGTTGTTCTGGCAGGAAAGGAGGGCAGGTCTGAAGAGTGTCCCCAAGCACCAAGTCTAGAGAGGGTAACCGGGGAGAAGAGCCAGCTCCCAGCTGACATGAGTTGTCAAGGGACAGTACAGAAGACATGGGAGATCATGCCAGAAGGAGGGGCCATGCCAGACATGCCGGTGTGGGCTGCCTGCTAGGAGGGTCCTCGGTCTGACAAGGAGGAAGTAGCGGGCGGTAAGACCAGCCAGGTCGGGTCTGAGGCCTCCTGTGCAGCGCTGTAGAGCCTCACTCATCTCCCAGGTCACATGATGGTAAGTAGCAATTGTTCTGAATGTGTAAGCAGAACAAAGCTCTGAAGGGCCGCTTGGGAAGCCCAGGGACACGGACACACACACACACACACAAAAGAAATGAAAGATAAGCCAGACCTTTGAAATGAGCGGTGGGTCTCAAAGCTGTGCAAAACCTTTGAGAGTCAGACATGGAAGGCAACTTAAGGAGAGAATCACTCAGATTGGGGGGGGGGAGGCAGCCTGGCAGAATGGTCACCATAAGAATGGCACCGTGTGCATCATTTCTGTAACCAACACCCCTAGCATGAGTCCCAGGAGGAAGGTGGCAGGAGTTAGGAGAGGCTCACTGAAGCAAAGGGACAGAGTGTCACACTCCAGCAAGTTAGAGCTAATTCAGAAGGAGGGCTGTTGGCTCCTGAACTGGCCTGGGGGGAGGGGAGAACTCCCTTGGGCAGACTCTGATGTACTGGGGGGGGGTTATTAAAAATGAACATAAGAGACCTTCCTTTGAGTCACTTTTCAAGAGGGAGGAATCTGCTATCATCTGGAGGATGGGCTTACCTTGGCATTTTGGTTTGCAAGTTTCTCAGGCCCAGCCAGGGGAGGCCTCCTCATCTGCAGAAACCTGGGCCTCTGGTTTCACACCTACATGGATGACACTGGGGGGGGGGGCTTCCTCCTTGACCTCAGTTCTGTTCTGACATCACTCCTTCCCACTCAGGTTTCCTTTCCTTTCCCTAGTCCCCGCCTGGTCGGCTGCTTCACACTCTTCTGCAGCCGGGAGTACATCAACCAGAGAACTTCTTCCTCCTAACCTCGACTGCAGTGTGGCCCCAGCCCACTTGTCCTCTGGCTTTCTGCCTGCCTTCCAGGCAGCTCTTCACCTGTCTTCCGAGGGGCCAGGGTCCTCCACACCCAGCATACGGCAGCCCCTCCCTCACACCACTCCCAGCCAGTTGCCCAGGACAAAGCTCAGCATCCCTTAGGCACAGACCGCATGGCAGGTCCTCCTAGAACAAGACACCATGATGTCTCTCTGCTTCCTCCTGTCTTCCCTGCCCCCTCCTAACTGACTATGGCAATTGTCCCCCCCTCCTCTCTCTCTGTTGTCCTTTCACTCCAAGCCTTTGTAAAAATACAAACTGGGTTTAGTCACACAGTTCATTAAAACTTGCCAGCCATGGTCCACGTACCTAGAGTTAAAATGTGTTTCTTCCCATGGTTTCAGGCTCGCTGCAAGCCTGATCCCATTCCATGCTTCTTTGGACACGATTCCTCAGCCTCACTGGCTTCCCTTGCCTTCTTGAGCATTCTCTTTTCCGTCTTCTGGCCATGACTGAGCCATTCCCTGGCTGGAATATGACCCTCCTCTTCACATGGCAGACAGCTCTCAACCTGTGTCATCTGTGAGATCTTTCCAGCAGCTAAGAAAGAGGTCTGTCTGATCTTCCTGTACCCCTCGTTTCTCCTTTACCACGTGTCATTTCTTCTGTCGATTTCCTCTTTTTTTCATCTCTTTCACTGGAACTTGGCTTGACTGTGGGCAGACCCCTATGCCCGTACTTGTGAGCATCATCTCCGTGAGGGCGGATTTGAACCAAGCTGCCTAAGCAGATCAGCTGACTCCCATTTGGGGACAGTGTGAAATCAGAATGGGGGAGGCTTTACCAGGATGCTTTGTGCCACGTTTACTAAGTGTGCAGAAGCGACGGTAACTTGCCTAGCCAGCTTTGGGCTCTGCGGGTTTCATCTTTCTGGGTATATGGATGTGAGACTCTCATGGTGATGGATCTGTCATCCTGTTTCCAATAACTATCCAGATCCTTCTTCACGCGTTTTTCCATGGAACCCCCAACCCTATCCCATAAATACTGTCCTCATGTTTTTCCTAGTAGACCATGGGACTAAGAGTACCATCCACTCCCACTGCCATCATGATGAAGCATGTCTAAACAGAAAGAGTGGGTGTGGAGTAGGAGCCTGCTCTAAGTTTCTCTCTTCTGTTTGACCTCTTGGCAAACTGACTGAAAAGCGGATTCTGGGAGCGGATTCTCTTTCCCGCCCCCTGGGAAGGTACACTAACACCACACTAAATTCAGAACTTGTGTGTGTGTTCTATGGGCTTCCTGTCTGGGCAGTTCAGTGCTTTGTTTCAAACCGAAGTTCAAGGGCTGACTCAGCTTTCTCAAGAACAAACCACTTCCCTTTATCAACATTGGTCCCCCTTCATTGTTGGTGGCCAGTGCCCAAAGAACACAAACTCAGGCCAAGTCTGGGTGTGCCTTGGGATGTCTTAACAGCTATACAGTCGCTGCCCATGTGTCCTGGACCTGAGCCAGGGCTTCCCCTTCTGATGCCACAGCCTTGGTTTCCCTTTCACTCAGGGATGAGGTAGCAGGTCTCAATACAAGTTATTGAAGCTGGCTACCAGGGTGAGATGTTCAACTCCTTTTGTTTACAAACCTGTGAGGTTCCCGTGGCATCTGTAGCTTACACCGTCAAATGTGACAGGATAGCGTGGAGCCCAGGTGAGATGGGAGGGGATGCTCTGGAGGCCCTAGTCTTGCTGTTATGACCCAGGGTAGGATGGATGGCAGGCGATGGTGATGATGATGGTTTGGGGTCCTTACTCATGATGATGGTGTTGATCATAATGGTAGTAATAGTTATAACGGTAATAATGGTAATGCTAGGATGATGCTGATGGTTGTGCTAGTAATGGCTTTGACTGTGGTAATTATAGATGATTATGATGATGGTAATGGTGGTGATTGTGGTGATGGTGGTGATGGCAATAACTGTGATGGTGGTAACAGGGATTGCAGTGGCGATGATGATGATGACAGTAGTGGTTGTAATGATGTTGATGATGGTAGTGGTCATGTTATGAGGATGAGGGCAATAATTGTGATTGTCATGGTGATAGTAATTAGTGTGATGACATTGACAATGATTGTGAAGTGATGGTAATAGTAACGATTGTAAGGGTGATGGCTGTAGTAGTAACGAATGGTGGTGGGTGATAATGGGGATAGTAATTGTGGTATTATGAGTAGTCATGGCCCCCATAGGCTCATATATTTGAATGCTTGGCCATTAGACAGTAGTGCTACTTGACATGGATTAGGAGGTGTGGCCTTGTTGGAATAGGTGTGGCCTACTGGAGAAAGTTCGCCACTGAGGGTGGCCTTTGGAGTTTCAAATGTTCAAGACAGGCCCAGCCCCTCCCTCCCTCCCTCTCCCTCTCTCCCCCTGCTGCTTGTGTATCCAGAGGCAGAACGCTCATCTCCTCTCCAGCACCATATTTGCCTGCTTGCCAACATGCGTCATGCCAAGATGACAATGGTCTAAACCTCTGAACTATGAGCCAGCCCCTATTAAATGTTTTCCCTTATAAGAGTTGCCATGGTCAGGGTGTCTCTTTAGAGGAACAGAACATTTATTTACAAAGACAGTGAGGGATGGTGGTGGTTAAGGTGATGGCAGTGGTTGTAACGGTGGTGGTAGTGATGATGATGATGATGATGATGATGATGATGATGATGATACCCGTGAGAGCTGCTTTCCTGAAGAGCCGGACTGAGCTAGGTTTTATGGTCTTTGCAGTCTCTTGTACTACTAGCCCCACATTTGAGTGAAGCACACCGTGTTGGTTACTCTGGAACATAAACTAGCCCGGCTCGCATGCATAGTTCAGTCCCCATCACTACTCACTCAGCTTTCTTGCCTGTACACAGTTATCACGCTGTGCTCTCCACAAAGACAGCCCTCAGTCTTATTTGCCAGCGTCATGCCTACCCTCCATTTCCCTCTGGAACCCTTCATTCAGGTCAGGACCTCAACAGCAGGCCAACTCCTGGCTCTCCTGGTGAGCCCCTGACATTTCATTGCGGGTTTTTAGTAGATTCTATGGGTTATGGCTCTCCACATCTCCCTCGCCCCTGCTGGGTGACAGGTACTTTGGAACAGAACATTCACTGAGGCAATGGGGACTCTACACAGGGTGTTAAGGTTGGTAAACAAAGGATTCAGATCATGCCCGGTTTTTTTTTCCCTGCCTGTGGTTCCAAAGCCTCAGCAGCCCATCTTTCTAACACAGTTTCCTGCTGTGTGGCCTCATGGAATGGAGGGGCAGGGCTGTCAACCCTCTTCCTCTCTTCTCTACCCTCACCCCCTTAGCTTTACACAAGTAGAATCTGCTGACACCATGAAGATTTCTCACACCCCTTCAGATCTTTCTGTGGGAAGAAACAGAAAGCACACACCCTCTACACACTCAGGACAGAGGACAGAGGTCTATGCATGCTATAGGCACCAAGGAAGTCCTCCGGCTGCTGACCTGAGAGGATGTGGCTTTGGTTTCTGGCTCCTGTGAGGGAAGAGTCACATCTCTGTTAGGAGGCTGTGATGGTCTGAATAAGAATAGCCCCCAAAGGCTCATGCATTTGAATGATTCATCATTAGGGAGCTGAACTACTGGAGAAGGATTAGGAGGTGTGGCCTTGCTGGATGTGTGCCACTGGGTGTCTTAGTTGTGGTTTCTATTGCTGTGAACAGACAACATGACCACGGCACCTTCTATAAAGAAAAAGCATTTAATTGGGGTGACTTACATTTTCAGACGGTTATAGTCCATTATCATCATGGTGGGACAAGGTGGCATGCATGCAGACATGGTGTGGGAGAAGGAGCTGGAAATACTACATCAGGGCTTACAGGCAACAGGAAGTGGTCTGTCTTACTGGGTGTAGCTTGAGCACAAGAAACTCGAAAGCCCCCCCCCCCCACACACACACAGTAACACACTTCCTCCAACAAGGCTACACCTCCTGTTAGTGCCACTCCCTTTGGGGCTGGGGGCCATTTCCTTTCAAACCACCACATTGGAGGTAGGCTTTGAGGTTTCAAAAGCTTCTCTCTCTCTCTCTCTCTCTCTCTCTCTCTCTCTCTCTCTCTCTCTCTCTCTCTCTCTCTCTACCCCCAGCTTCTTTCCTCACCCTTCTTTCCTCTCCTCTCTGCTTGTAGATCAGAATGTAACTCTCAGCTACTCTCCAGCACCATGAGTATCTGCTGCCATGTTCTCTGCCATGCTGATAAAGGATTAAGCCTCTGAACATGCAGGTCCCTCACATGTGCCTTACCAAGTCCCATGGTGTCCCTTCACAGCAGTAGAACAGTGACTGAGACAGGGACCAGCTGTCTGTGAGGCAGCATCCTCTGAGAAGGGCAGCTTTACCTCACCCCCCAGCGAGCCTCCTTCTGGGTGCTGACAAGGAAAACCGCTGCCTCTTCCAGCTTTCTGTCTGGTTTTTTGATCACTCATATGTTCCCCAAGAGGGTCTTGTCTGATACTGTGCAGTGTGGTTGCGCCTGGTTTTCTCCAGGGACCTTGTGGAAGAAGTCACCTAGCTGCTTCTGCTCCAGTCTGGGATGACCAGGGCCACGAAGTCAGCTTGTGAGGTGTGCAGTAGGTGCTGCTCTGGGCCAGGCACTGGGCTCAGCTGTGTGGGCCTCAGTCACATGTCTGCAGGCTGTGTACGGTATGGTAGAGACTGCAAACCCCCAATGGGAAGCAGGATGCAGACACAGTGCTCTTAGGAGGACTCTGACCTTGCCTAGTTCTAGAATCCGACTCTGCTGTTGTCAGCAATCCGACTGCGTTCAGACCCAGGAAGACTGCAGACTTCACATTCCCAGGACCTGAGTGCTGTGCGTGCCTGCAAAAGGGACTTCTGCTTGCCTTATCTTGTCCTTGGGGACTGTCACCTCCAGGCGAGGTCTGTTTGTCTTTCTGATAGCTTCTATATCACCCACTTCTTTCTCTTCTGTGAGAGCAACACCTGGCTGCCTCCTTTGTATATCTTTGTATTGTGTGAATGAATAGAGAGAAAAAACAAGCTGTCTCCAGAGAGATAAGCTTGAAACTGTGGCTGTAAGATCACAGTTCTTGTCCCCTCTTTACCACCAAAGCTGTCTGGTCTGGGAGAACTTAATTCTTTTGCATCCTGGTATTGCCATATGTAAACAGTGAAGCCACCTATCCAGACCCTTGCTGGGCTGCATTACAGGGTGTCCATGAAAGTGCGTTGAAAACCGTGCCACAACATGAAAGTAGTGGCAGATCAATACGTGCTCATAAATAATGCATACAGAGTTATCATTTTATTTCACCTCCTTCCTGAGAGTTTATTTGATCTATTTTACAATGCCAAACAGAGGTTAAAATTGTATGTGAATTAAGTCCATGATGCATTGTTGCTGCACGCTTCAGTGAGACAGTTACTCCAGAGTGTTAGCATCCAGCCCAGTCATGCCCAAGGCAAGAAAGAGAGAAAGGAGGGAAGGAGAAGGGGAGGGGAGGGGAGGGGGAGGGGAGGGGAGGGAAGGGAAGGGAAGGGAAGGGAAGGGAAGGGAAGGGAAGGGAAGGGAAGGGAAGGGAAGGGAAGGGAAAAAGGAAGAAAGAAACACAACTCTTAAGGTGTTCTCACAATCTGATTTGTATCTACTAAATTAGAAGAAGCATTGACTGTTATTGAATGACCCAAGCAGTGCCCTCTCTGTTTCAAGGGGAAGCAGACGGAAGTGAGAGCTTAGCTGCTCCCCTTCACTCTTTCTCTCCCCCCCCCCTTACTGTTGCTGGCCGCAGCACCCCACTCTGAGGTCCTGCTGACTTCTCAGCAACCGGCCACCCATTCCCTCTTCCTCCTCCTGCTGACTTCCTTGTCCAAATGTTTTTGCAGGTGGTTAAACTGAAGGGCCAAGTGCTGTCGGTCATGTATCGGTTCCGCACCAAGAACCGGGAGTGGCTGTTGATCCGTACCAGCAGCTTCACCTTCCAGAACCCCTATTCCGATGAGATTGAGTATGTCATCTGCACCAACACCAATGTCAAGTATGTGCTCCGTCCCCTCTTCGGCTGATTATTCACATATGAGTTGCGTCCTGAACGGCTTTGCTGGAGGCCCCCCCCCCCCCCCCCCCCCCGCAGGCTGTAGCTGCAGCCTGAAACCCCTGCAGGGTGGAGGAGGAAGAAAAGGGGAGACACTGCATCCATTCCGTATTCAGGCCAAGCAGAGAAGAGCTTTGCCCGTGCCTGCCTCCACATTCTATGGTGCTAGCCACTCCTGGTCCTGCTGATGCTAGTAATTAGAAGCTTCTGGAAGCTCTGGCCAAGGCCAGGCAGCCTGTTGTATCAGGGAGCACTACCACATAAGCCCAGAAGCCCCCCCTCGCTGTTCCAGGCCCAGGACCCCTGCTTCTGTATACATTCCATATCCCTGGAGTTGGCAGGTAGACCTGAGTTCTCCCTTGACTCTGCTGGTTCCTAGCTTTATGATTTCACGTAAGTCCCTTCCTCTCTTCCCCTTCACTTCCTTGTCTGTGACATGGAGTGATTTTCCTCTTTTTCTCTGTGTGTATACGGACATGTGTTTGAAAGCCAGAAGCTGGCATCTGAAGTTCTCAGTTGCTCCCCCTTGCCTTTTGAGATAGGTCTTTCACTGACCTTGGAGCTCACAGGTTTGGCCAGGCTCTGACTCGGCTTCCCGGTGCTGGGATCACACGAACAATGCTGGACCTGGATCATTTACATGCATGCTTGGGGTAGCAAACACAGCTTGTCATGCTCTCTGAATATGTCATCTCCCCTACCCATGCCTCCTCCTTTCCATAGTTAAGCTTAGATCTGTGGGACAGACTTGTGGACACGGTGTCTCCTATATGCTGAGGGAACATGCCTCCTCAGATCAAATATAGAAGAAATACAGATGAAGCTGATTTTAGATACTTCCATTTATATACTATTTTGAGACTTATTTTTTTGGAGAGATGGTTTGCTTTATAGCCCTGGTTAACCTAGAACTCACTTTATAGACGAAGCTGGCCTGGAAGTCTCAGAAGTCTACCTGCTTCTCCGTTTTCCTTAATTTGACTTTACCTGTGTTGTGAAAGCGCCGCACATTTAAGGAAAACCACACTTTGAACTTGAATCTGCTCCTCCCCTGTGCTAGCAATGTGCTAGAGAGAAAGCTCCCAGGATGCTAAGCTGTGGCAGTGTGTGGCAGCTCCACGTAGCCGCACACCTATGAGAGAAAACAGCCATCACTCTCCGTGTGTTGCTAAGCTTAGTGCCGTGAGTTAGGGGCACTGGCACGTTTTGTGGTTTTCAATACCACACCCATGCTGGATTCATCAGGTGTGACCCTGGTGTGAGCTAGGGGGCATCCATACCCAGTGAGGAACCAAGTGGACACAAAGGTGTCCCAGTGAGTTAAAGCACATGGAAGCCACGTCTAGGGTGACAAAGAATGTACAAAGAGGCTGGCCCTTGTGTCTGCCCTTGTATCTGCCACTCATGGTCACTGGACCTCCCAACCTTCATTTCCCAGGTTCAGTCAGGGATGGTCCTGAGCCCACGGCCTTCTTGGCCTTGTCTCTTGAAGCAGGGGATCCTACTAAGCTGGTGCTTGACCCTCCATCAGAGCGTTCATTTCCACCAGGCCTTGCTGGGCCACTACCACCATTCAGCTCATCCCAGCCCCTTGCAGCCTGGCTCTCACGCTAGTCCAGCAGCTGCCGCACGCCATCCGGAGCACACAACTCTTGCTCCCAGGAACTCCCCCCAACTGTCTGCTGGACCAAGCTCCCATTCGAGACATCTTCTCCCTCTCTGTACTTGGTACAGCCGGATTCTTCTTCTACCCCATCTGCTGGTCAAACCTGTAAGTGGAACAGAAGAAAGATGAGAAACCGTAGATTCAGACGGGCAAAAAGATGATCTTATCTCAGTTTTCTATGTCCTCTTCTGTCTTGGGTTTTTGATGGAAATGAGGGAATTCCATTTCTCCCCATCAATGCCACAGTGTGGTAGAGGGGTGCTCTTTACCTGGGAACCAGAAAGGCACCCTTGAGTGACACACCCATATCTGATCCTAGTTCTCATGAAGCTAAGGAAGGCTGGCAGATAGGAGCAGAGTCAAAGCATGGGGCCAGGAGGGCCCGGGTGCTGCTGAGTTCGAGGTGTAGAGTGACAGGCTTCTTGGGTACCCACAATCTGGGGGCTCGAGGTCCTTGCCAGGGAGAGAGATAAGAGGTACGGTGCCAGCCCTGACCTGCTCAGCACCTGTGTGAACCAGATCTCCGCCGTTAGGCTTGTCTCTCCCAATATGGCCTCACACCTGCCAATTCAGGCTGCCAAGAAGTCATAGAAATAGACAAACACACCAACTGCTCAGAGTCCTGCACACTGTTCCAGAATCTCTCCTCTTTGGATGCCAACAGGTTGGCTGGTTGTTAGGGAAAGCCACCTCCTCTCTGGATTCTGCCTCCTTCTCTGGCCCTCATCCCTTTTTGTTCCTTTGTAACTCATGGCCTCATCCCTTTTTGTTCCTTTGTAACTCATGGTTGTGTGTACAGGCCTACACAGAGCAGGGCCCCGAGGCTGCCTACTCCCTATGGGTGACGCTGCTCCCTGGGCTTTGAGGGTGCCATCTGCGCCACACCATCAACCCTAAGCCCTCCCTGTTGATGAAGCTTGTTCCTCTCTCGCGTCAGAGCCACCCCATCTACAGTAACAACCCTGAGTCTTGGCCGGGCACCCAGCAGCCTTCTAGATTTGGATGAGAACAGACTGATGTTCCTTGTCTGGAGGGGAGGTTTGGCACCTTTAAGTTCTCATCATTCTCCTCTTCCAGTGTTTGTTAACCTTCTGCTGTCAGAGTCACATGTTTGGTCACAACTAATGAAGCTGGATCTCCCTGACCACCATGACCAGACATGGCCTGTGCCAGTCAAGATGGCTACATCACTCTTCTTGTCCTTAAGGGGAACCTGGTCCCAGGAAACCTAAGGCTCAGGCTTCAAAACCATGAGAACATGGGGGAAGACAGGTGACAGTGGATAGATACAGAGGAAGAAGAAGACAAACCAGTCCCCCAGGGCCTGTGGAAACACCACCAGGAGGCAGCCTTGACAAGAGGCCCAGAAGCAAAGTCACTCCCCTCTGCAAGCCGGCCCCACTTGAGAGGGTTGGCCTTCTTTTCCGAAAGCCAGGCAGTTTTTGGAAAGAAAGAAAAGCATTTCGTTCAGGGGTGGACTATCTTGCTTCCTCAGGCCGATCATTCTCAGTAGCTCCTGGACGATGCGCAGATCAGAAAGCCCCTGAGATTGATACCTGTTGTAGCAGCAAGAGCAGCAGCAGTTTTCTAAGGTAGGTGAGGTGTTCAGTGGTAAGGCTGCAAAGCTCACTGCAGACGGTAGAGGGCAGTGCTAGCCACACGTGCGAGCAAAGGAGCTTTCTTGAATTTGTGAGGTCAGCCTTGCCAGCTGTAGGCCAGCTAGTTAGGAATGATCCTCCGGTGCACCCCGTGCTTCGTGGGAGGAGCGGGGAGTTGCTTGCCCGGTAACCTTCAGCTGAGAGCATCCAAAAGCAACTTCCTGAAGAAGTTAAGCAAGCGCTGGGTGTTTAGCATTTGTGCTAAGCTGCTGAAAAGGCTCTTTGTCACCTCTGACTTCTTCCTGGCCCAGAAAAACAGGATGATGCAACACATTGACTGGGTACACATCTCGGAACAGTGCCAGGTCTTGGTGTCAGGGAGCAGAAAGACGAGTCGTAGGCTGACTAGGTGCCAATCATGTCCATCTTTTTCACATTGGCTCAGCCTAGCTCCTGAACTTTTATTTCCTACCTTTCTTCAGGGAACTAACATGCCATTCTCCTTAGGCCAAGCCTCTGTTATTAAAATGGCACAGTCTGGGGTTGTCTCAGGTTTTCAGGACACAGGTTCCTAGTGTGTGTATACATGCACATGAACATGTGTGCACCCGTGTGTGTAGATGGCTGGGTACAGATGTATGTGTCCTTATGTGTGCATGAATCTATGCATGTGTGCAGGGTATACATAGCTATGTGAGTACGAACACGGGTTCTTAAAGTCCCACTAGGCCCAAGGTTCAGCTAGCCAATGATCACACATATTCGGCTCCTTCTGTAGCAGTTACCTGCTTGGTAGTAGGTGGAGAATGGATTGTATGCAATCTCTGAAGGAGTTAGAATATAAACTGTAACCCCAGAGCCTAAGGAGCAGGGCCAGGAGGCAGCCTTGAGTGTGTGCTAGGAGCAAAGACACCATCCTCGTTTTTCTTCCCTGCTGGAGCTGTCTGTCTTTCTGCAAACCAGGCAACAACTGCCAGTCAGTGAGGGGCTGAGGCTCTTCCCGTCACAGGCTCCGAACCTAGGCAGTGTCTTGTTCCCTGCCTTTCCTTACCCTTGGAGGAGAACATGAGAACTAGAGCTGCAGGTGCTGCCTGGGACCCTAGCCCATGTCCTTCTCTGCCCCTGTAGAGGCCTTGGTGGCCTCTCAGGGGACGGTCACCTTCATCGGGCTGCTGTCGAGCCAACCCACAAGGCCAAGGGGCACTTTCTCTGAACTGATACAGGGTCATATCATTTCCTATCCAGATTGAGTCAATGCCAGGTGTCCAGAGTCCCCCCAGGAGCCCTGGGACGTGGAGGGTGTTTATTCTGGGCTGGGCAGAGGGGAAAGTACAAGGTCCACAGCCCTGCCAAACTGAATTAGAATCCCTTCTGTGCCAGGTTCTGTCTGGGGATACCACTTAAACTGGCCGAGCCTCATCTCCTCTATCTGATAATTGATTGTCTTATACCGTAAAGATGTAAAGTGTTGGCGGAGTACTGGTGATCTGTCTTACGTTCTGATATTAGCAGCCTGCCAGTGAGCCATCATACTTCCCCGAGATGCAGGGAACAGGAAACAAAGCAGATAATGGAGTAAGAACAAGGAAGTGCGGTGATGCTTCTTTTATAGTTAAGATTATATTGATTCTTTTTAAAAAATTGAAAGGGTCTCGTGTTGCCTGGACTGGCCTTGAATATGACCTTGAATTGCTGATTCTCCTGCAGATTCTGGGATTACAGGCAGGGGTCTCCATAACTGCCTGTGTGTGGCACTGGGAATTAAACTCCCAGTTTCATGCATACTAGGCAAGCGCTCTACCGACTCTGTTGCATCCTAACCCTCTTTTTAAATTTTTTTTGAAACCTCGATTTGTTTTGAAAATTACTCTTGGTGCTCCACTCTGCTGATGGGCTTCCACTGCCTGGGGGACATCACACACTTCTAGTCCCATCCTTTCCTTTGCTCCTAGGCTCTTGTACCATCCTGAGATGGCAAATCCTTCACTCCCTTAGAACCCCAGTCTTTTCCTCTGTCTTCCCCTGGCACTCAGCTCCACCAGAGCAAGAATCTGGGGGTTTTTGAATGAATCATCAGAACTGGTCTTTGGCTATGGGGGTTTGCTTTGCCTTAACCTAGTTCACTGAATGGACATTTCAGTTTGATTCCGTAGCAGCTGCTCAGCAGGTTCTCCAGCAGAGCCTCTTCCCTGGGGTCTCCAGAACTGAGTTCCTTGCTCTCTACCTTGCTTGTAGCATCTGAGTTAGGGGGCTTCACTGTTCCCTGAAAGCAATCCTGTCTCCCTGTTTTAAAACTTGAAGGTGCCTATCGGGAACTCACCAAGGCCAGCTGACCTGGGTCTGAAAAAGCCTGGGTTAAAACAGGTCTCACTGAACATAGCGGACAATGAGGACTACTGAGACCTCAAGAACAATGGCAATGGGTTTTTGATCCTACTGCATGTATTGGCTTTGTGGGAGCCTAGGATGTTTGGATGCTCACCTTACGAGACCTGGACGGAGGAGGGTTTTCCTTGGACTTCCCACGGGACGGAGAGCCCTGATTGCTCTTTGGGCTGACGAGGGAGGGGGAATTGATTGGGGGAGGGGGAGGGAAAGGGGAGGCGGAGGTGGGGAAGAGACAGAAATATTTAATAAATAAATTAATTAATTAAAAAATAAAAAATAAAAAAAAGAACAAAAAAATCCAATATTATATCTAAAGATCATACATAATAAACAAGTTGGTCTTGTTTCAGAGATGCTTTGACATATGCAAATTAATAAATGTAATCTACCATATTAAAAAAATTTAAAAAAAAGAAAAAAAATTAAAAAAAATAAAATTAAAAAAAAAGGATAAAAAAAAAAAACTTGAAGGTGCTGGGTGTTTCCCGGCACTCCAACATGACAGCCTGGCAGAGCAGGAGGTGCCTAGCAGAGTAAGAGGAGCCAACCGCCTCGAGAATCAACCCTGAAGTCAGACCCTGCTCTGCTGTAGCCGAACATCTCTGACCTTCCCCGAGCCTTCAGCTCCAGCTTCTCGACTTTAGCATGTGGATAAAATAACCCCCATGAGAATTCGGTGCGAGGCCGGATGAAGAAGAAGACATGCACCCGGATGGCCAAGTGTACACACTACAACCAGCGGCTTTGTTAGGGGCTGAAACCAACTACTTTCCTGAATTTTGCTTTTAAAACAATTTTAGTACTATACTTTTTACCTTGCATGAAACAAAAGTCATTAGATGAAGCCTATTGTTTGAGCCAGGCGTGACGGCGCCTCTCTATCCTCCTAGAAGTGAAAACCCTGAAGCAGGAGGATCAAGACTTCCAGGCCAGGACAGGGTGCATAGCAAGACCCTGTCTCCAAAATATTCGAAGGCGGAGGAGATGGCTCAGTGGAAAAAGCACAGGACAATCATGGGAGCCTGAGTTAGGATCCCCAGCATCCGTGTAAACAGCTCATTGTAACCCTGGAGCTGCTGGGGCCACAACAGATAGATGCCTGGAGCTCATTGGCCAGCCAGTCTAGCCAATTGGTGGGCTCTGGGCTCAGCGAAGGATCCTGCCTCAAAGGATAAGGTGGGAACCAACTGAGGAGGACTCCTGATGCCAGCCTCTGGTTTCTACACGCGCACAGAACACACATGCGCATGCCCACACCCACACACTCTTCACCTTACGATTTTAACAGCTCGTGGAGATGCCTAAGTCTGAAATGCAGGGGATGAAATAAAATAGAAGCGGAAAGCCTTTTAAGGGATCTGTTGAGCATGGGCTACGAGGCGACTTTGAGGAGTGTGATTTCTGCCTCTCGGCTTCCAGTTCGCTCACACTGCCCTGACTTTATTCTTTCACAGGCAGCTTCAACAGCAGCAGGCAGAACTGGAGGTACACCAGCGAGATGGGCTGTCGTCTTACGACTTGTCTCAGGTGAATTTCTGGGGAGCTCTTCTTTTCTGTTTGGCCCTCGGAGAATTGAGAACTAAACTCGCCCCAGAATTCCCACCCTAAACTAAAGCTAAACTCGCTCCCCGTATCCCAAGGCGCTCTGTTCCGTCTGATCTCCGAGGTACTAATAGTATTTTCTATCCCTGGTGCCCACTGTGGCTCTTCCTTCCGGAAGTGAGCCGCACGGAGCAGAAAGTCGGGAGAGAGAGAGAGAGCAGGTGGTGAGCCATGGTCTGCCAACACTGAGTATCTTCAGGGGACAGAGGGAAATTCCGGTGTGGGCCTGTCTCACAGGTGCAGAAGCCAGCAAGAGCAGGCTCTGGACTTGGCTTCCTTGGCTTTCTAGTGTCTCTCTCACCTTTGCGCCCACACCTGTTTTGCTTTAATGTTTCTCTTCCTGTCATACTCTGTGTCTCTCCTTTCCTTCTCTCATCTCCTCTGGTCCCTCTTCTCGCCTCCTCTCTCTGGTCCTGCTTCTGACAGCTGGCCATCAGAGAAACTGACATGGGTCAGTACCTAACTCATTCCCAAATTAACCTTTAGGCTGTCTTCCTGATGTTTATAGTAGGTTGGCTCTTTTTCATTTACCACTGAAAAAGTCTCTGTGACTCTGGCATTTCTCCTGTAACCCCTAATTCACACTTCCCAACCCAGGTGCCCTTGATCTTCAGGGATAAGCTACCAACCTTGCAAAAATAGTCAAGTCTTGAACACTAGCCCTTCCACCCAAAGGGAATAAGCAGGGGACAGCATGTGACTCGTGGGAAGTACCCTCTGTGCCTTATGTGTGGATTGCTATTGTGTTTTATGTGCCCACAGGTCCCTGTACCCAACCTATCTGCCAGTGTTCATGAGGCGGGGAAGTCTGTGGAAAAGGCAGATGCCATCTTCTCCCAAGAAAGAGACCCTCGTTTTGCTGAGATGTTTGCGGGCATCAGTGCGTGTAAGTGGCAGGCAATGCTATGCTGTGAGGCTGCAGGGTTACGGTTGCATTCAGACCATCTGGAGATAGCCACCCTAGTGCTACGCCATGAGGCTGCAGGGTTACGGTTGCATTCAGACCATCTGGAGATAGCCACCCTAGTGCTACGCCATGAGGCTGCAGGGTTATAGTTGCATTCAGACCATCTGGAGATAGCCATCCTAGAGATAAGGGCAGGAAAGGCGACTTTTGTGTGACGGACATAGGACATAGGAAGAAGCCTGTACAGGAGTCAGGACAGAGTCTCTGTATTCCTGTCCTTGCCTCTTCCTTCCTGATCACCTGTGACACTCAGCCTCAGGCCATGGCATCTCATCTCTAAAATGGAAAAGGTCAGAGCACACAAAGTCTAATCCATTACACAATGCCTTAGTCACTAGACTTCACCACTGTAACCAAATACCCAAGAAAACAACTTAGAGGGAAAAATGGTTGTTTTGACTCTGTTAGAAAAGAAACTTAGAAAAAAAATCACCAAAATTTCAGAAGGAAAATAAAGTAAGATGGCAAGAAAACATGAATATCGAAAACGATTAGTCAAGATAATATTCAAGGACGACAGATGAGTAACCCCCAATTAACATGCTGCCACAATTCAGCATAATCAAAACAAAATGAGATGAACTATTGAGCCCTCAGGGGCGAGTGATGAAGATGCTTTCAAATCCAGTGGGGAAATACAGCGTCACCAGAGAAAGACTTCAGAATGTCCCTGTGGGCAGAGGACATAGAGCCTGAACTGACTATAAATCTCATGAACTTTGAAATACAGAAAGGCCAAAATAATCACAAACACAGGAAGAAACTAATTTTTAAAAAAAAAAAAAAGTAGAACTCAGAAAGCCTTTCCTCATTTTTAACAAATCAGGCCAATGAAAATAATAAAACAGAAAGATTTAGAAGACTAAATAATATATATACGCTAATATATATTATTTAATATGTGATATATTCGTGTTTATATATTATTAAATGACATATATTAATAATACATATGTTAATGTGTACATATGTATGATTATATGTGTAAATATACACATATAAACATATATTGGTACATGTATAAGTACTGTACCCTACCAGAGTCCCAGAGCATAGAAGAACAATGTGTCCACCATTTACCACCAAAGCACATGAGAAAAAAAGTAGCTTGCTTAAAGTCATGCTGTGTGCAGTGGTAGCTGATTTGTCTGTCTGTCTGTCTGTCTGTCTGACTGTTGCTTGTTTTGTGTGGTGCTGGAGAATGTTGGGCAAGAGCTCTACCACTCAGCTACCCCTCCAGCCTCTGTGAACTGTTTATAGAAGAGGGTGGCCTGAGTCCCTGTCCATTTTCACTTTCCCCCTCCCCATTCAAGTCTTGCTCATCATGCCCCACCCTTAAGGCCCTGCTGATTGAGCTCCTGCCCCTTCAGGATGCCCCATGGTTCCAATCTAACAATGGCTTGCTTTAGAGCCCCACACAGCGATGGTAGTAGGCTATTTGGCTCCTATGTGGTCTCTTAGCCTCAGGGCCATGAGCTTATTCACCTACTTCCCATTGCTACTCCAGCCGCCCAGGAAGCTGGGCTCAGGGAGGGCACACATGCTGAATCGTCACTGTCATGCATCCAGGCTGGGTGTCCTTCCTCTTGGTGCCTTGAGAGTGACCGGTATGATTGGGACATGTCGGCATCATGATGCTCTAGCCCAATGGTTCTCAACCTTCCTAATATTGTGACCCTTTAATACCATTCCTCATGTTGTGGTGCCCACCATAGGAAAATGATTTCATTGCTACTTTGTAACTGAATTTGCTACTGTTATGGATCATAATGTAAATATCCGATATGCAGGATATCAGATATTGAATGTAATATAACTATCTGATAAACCCTGTGGGGGTCAAGACCCCCAGGTTGAGAACTGCTGCTCTAGGGTCTCAGGAGCATCATGCAGCCAAGGAAGGGGTGCTCTCTGGTTGACACTTGGCTGTCTAGAGGCCGCATCCTTTCCTGCTTCTCACATCTCCACCAAGAGCCCCTTCCTTCCCATGAGAGCTCTAGACAGCCTGGCTGTGATGTGAGCCCAGTTCTCTCAGCCTGTCCCTGCAGGTGACATGCTTGAGCAGACTTACACCTCTCTGGCAGAGCAGTGGTCTTGGTGACTCAGCCTAGCCTGGGTCTGAGTGTTGCCGGAGCCCTGGTGGAAAGCCAGGCAACACCACCCAGCTGTCCTGGCCAGTCAGTCCAGGGTATCCCTCAGTACCTGCTGCTCAGGTCAGGGAAGGGGCCCTGGACTGGGATTCAAGTTGGGTTTTTCCTTGGTGTCCCGTGACCTGGGACAGGCAGGGCCTCAGTTTTTTCATCTGTAAAAATGGAAGCAAACGTGTAAGCTGTTTCTGGTTTCCCGGCACTGCCCTCAGCAAACATCTGACCTGTGTTAACGCACAGAATCCTCACCACAGTCCTGTGCCATAGACTCTGCAGTTATCTTCTTCAGGTGGAGAAACTGAGGCAGGGGCAAGTCCAAAGAGCATCCCAGGTAGCAGTTGTAACACAAAGGGCAGAGCTGAGGTCCAGGGTCAGGCAGCTGAGGTTACCCAGAGTGTCCTCACATTTTCGCCCATTCCCTATTGTGTGCTCCCCCACACACCCGTGAAATTGGAAATACTGAAGATAGCAGTGCCTTCTCCACTCTCAATGGCTTGCCTTCAGGTGACTGGGCCACCCTAGGAGTTAGGAGAGACCACCTCAGAGGGGCCATCCTCTGTGGACCTCCTAAGTTCCCGTGCCCCTTGCATGGCCCGCAGCACAAGGGTGCGGGAACCTTCACCTGCAACTCCTGTGGTTTTCCTAGCGGAGAAGAAGATGATGAGCTCAGCTTCGGCATCAGGCAGCCAGCAGATCTACTCCCAAGGAAGTCCATTCCCTGCCGGGCACTCGGGCAAGGCCTTCAGGTAGGTGCCAGGGAGGGGAATGGTAGGAAGGAAAGCCTTGGTTCTGTGAGCTGAACAGGGACTGGTCATTGCTGTGCTGTGGGGTGGAGCCAGGATGGAGACTCTGGACTGCTGGCTCTGTCCGTCAGTCCCTCCATAAGCACTGAGTGTCAGTGACTCTTAGACACCAAAGGTATCAGTCTCTCTATGATCCTGGGAGGGGAGGAGTCTGCTGCCAAGATCCAGGTAGGGCTTGTTGAGAAAGTAACCAGAACTGCCCTTTTCTCTGATTTTGCTGAGGCCATGACCGAGTGCAAAAGGAAAAGATGGTCTGTCGTATCTGAGCCTCAGCCTCAAGGGCCATTCAAGGCACCAAGCTTAGCATCAGGGCATGCTGCAGCTTACTGAGGAAGCTTGACATTACCGCTGAGGATCAGGCCGGCCTCCAGTTTCTCCGAGGAAATGCAAGCATGAACCCAGGATTTTTACCAAAGGACAGGCCAGCAATCCTCAAGGAAGACATTCTCCTATGCCCCACCAGCTACCTCTAAGATCCCTGGAAGCCTCGCATACCCCAGACCCAGCAAGGTGGCGTTTTCCCTACCTCCCAGTTGAGCTTGGCCCGATTCTGAGCAGGGCTTCAGGGACCCTGCAGGGACCAGGGTTGGGCATGCAAATTCAGTGCCCAGAAACTACATTGGCCACAATGGGATAGGAATCTCCCTTTCTTGCTGTTCTAAGAACAGACTTCCTACATCAGCAGCAGGTATGACCAGAGGCCCTAGGGAGGCTGGGCACAAAGGCCAGTGCTTGGTCCCAAAAAGCCCAGGCAGAGTTACAGCTGTTCCTCCTTAGCATCCCAGGGAGGGCTGTGCAGGCTGTGCAGGCTGAGGCATGTATTGAACATGAACAAGAACAAGAAAATGTCCTTTGATAGAAAGGGAGCTGCAGAGGAAATGTGTATATATGATAGTACCATGGTAAGATCCATTACTTGGGAGCTAGGCATGATTACCGTCATCTATAAACCCGGCACACAAGAGTCTGAGGCAGAAAATCGCCATGAATTCATGGCCGGTATTAATTATACTTTGTATAATTAATATAACTGATTTTTTAAAAAAGAAAACCAAATCAAAAATAAAGAAAATATTCTCCGCAGGGCATAGTGGCAAACATCCTTTATGCCAGCACTTGGGCTAAAAATGCCTTCTGGCAGAGGCAGGCGGATCTCCGTGAGTTCCAGGACAGCCAAAGCCACTTAGTAAGAAAGATCCTGTCTCAAACAACAAACAGACAAACAAACAAAAAAGCAAAAAGAAAATACCCTCTGACCTGAAACATCCTGGGGGAAGTGGCAAAGAGCTAGTGTGTTGTGAGGTCAGCTCAGCTAGAAAGACAGGCGTGATGTTTGAACAGCCAAACTTGCCTTCCAATCTGCAAGGAGTCACAGAGAACAGGAAAAGGCTATAATACAATTGTTAAACCTGCAGTCTGTAACTTTCTTACCCACCTAAAAACCTAAAATTAGGCACAGCCCACCTCACTCAGTACATTCACAGGCCCCCAGCACAGACCCAGGTAGGGCCTGGAGCAGTATAAGTCTCCCTCCAGACTTTTCCATTGTCAATGGGCTTACCGTCAACATCGCCTAAAACACTCCTGGAAGAAGGACCTGGTGATATAGTGAGGATGGTGTCAGAGCATCCTCTCCAGGTGCACAGAGAGCTAGGCACTGTGATATGTACCGCAGGTGCCCAGTAAAGGTGCAGCAAGTTAAGTCACCTGAGGGCCGAAGAGGTAAGCATGCCTGACTGAGCCCCTCGCAGCGGCCTTCCATTCCCAGGTTTGTCTCAGTATTGAAACTGACAGCCTGCTGCCTATGTGCAGAGTCTGGAAGCTTCCTCAGGGCCCCAAAGGGACAAATTAACCAGAGCACGGAGAGCAGGTAGCCGGGAGTCTGATTTGTATTCTAAGACTCGTGTCTCTTCTCAGAATGAAATCTTTTATAGAGATCTGGGGGTGAGCAGTGAAAGACTGTGGTAGGAAAATCCAAAAGCTGACAGACCCTGGGGGAGAAGGAGGCTGAGAATAGAAACCGGCAAGGACCACTGGGCAGTGTACAAGGAGGAAGGAGAGCGGGTGTGGAATCTTTTGACAGAGACTCAGGAAAGCCGGCCATTTTCTGGGACTAAATGTATCTCCTTCTCCTAGCTCTTCCGTGGTCCATGTGCCTGGAGTGAATGACATCCAGTCCTCCTCCTCTACGGGCCAGAACATATCCCAGATCTCCCGGCAGCTGAACCAAGGCCAGGTGGCGTGGACAGGCAGCCGTCCACCCTTCCCAGGGCAGGTATGAATGCCTATGAGGCACGGCCCTGGGTGCCCAGAGTGACAGAACACATACCATCTGCTATTTGGGGTCCCAACTCTGAGGGTAGGTCAGTGCTCCCAGCTAGAACAGCCAGTTCCTCGTGAGTCCCTGCCATCCCGTGGAGCTCTTTGAGAGCTGGGTCCCCAAGGATTTCTGATCAACACCCCTTCTCACAACTTTCTGTTAAGAAAGAGAGCAAGAAAGAAAATCAGCCTACTAATCACAATCCCAGAGAACCGAGACAACACCGAGGACCCTAAGAGAGACATACATAGATCTAATCGACATGGGAAGTAGAAAAAGACAAGGTCTCCTGAGTAAATTGGGAGCGTGGGGACCTTGGGAGAGGGTTGAAGAGGAGGGGAAAGGCAGGGAGGGGAGCAGAGAAAGATGTACAGCTCAATAAAAATCAATAAAACGAGAGAGAGAGAGAGAGAGAGAGAGAGAGAGAGAGAGAGAGAGAGAGAAAGAGAGAGAGAGAGAAATCAGGCACTCAAAGCTTCTCCAGAAAAAAAAAAAAAAGTCCCCCATCACTTTGGAGCTCTGGTAACTACTATGCCAAGAGGGCCTATAAATATTCCCTGGAAGGTTCTAGAATGATAGGTCTTATTCAGATGAGGGGACTCCATAAGCTGAACTTGGAGAAGCCAAGCCATTGTAGTCCTCAAGGTAATGTTAACCAGCTCCACCCCCACGTCTCCAGGGCTAGGATGCTGGCTGGCCGACACACACTGAGCTTATCCCAGGCCAGTGAAGGGAATCAGGGCCTGCTGTTCCTATTCAAGGGTGGGGCTCATGGGAGGCGGGTTGGTCCTGCCTCTTTCTGTCCTAACCAGAACAACTCCTACCCCAGCCCAGCAAGACGCAGTCATCTGCCTTCGGGATCGGATCGGGCCACCCCTACCCTGCTGACCCTTCTTCTTACAGTCCTCTCTCCAGTCCAGCGGCCTCCTCGCCCAGTGGAAACGCCTACCCCAGTCTGGCCAACAGGACTCCAGGGTTCGGTAGGTGGGGAACGAAGGAAAGAACTCATGTTCTGAGCATCCTGTGTCCAGGAGCTGAACCAGGGCTTCTTCCAGAGTATAGGGCAAAGCCCCAAGCTCTCAGGATATGGGGCAGGGCCCCTGAAGTGCCCCAGCTCCTCTCCTTTCTGGCTACAATCAAGAGGGCCTTGGGTGTCCTAAGTGTTGACACTGTGGTTCAGCATGGCTATATCAAGGCAGAAATGGTACCCTTTCTTCCCTGTGTTATGATGTGACTCAGTTGCTAGTTTAACCCTACGTGGCCCAAGGCAGAGACTTTCACATCTCAGAAGTAAACCGTTCTCCATTCTCTGTTCAGAAACCCAGAGAAGCCAGGGATGGCTGGCTGGGTCAGCAAACCCAGAAAGTTCCCTTTTTTAATACTGCGAGGTATTGCTATGTTCCTCTCATTCTGAGACAAGATACCTGGCAGACGTCACTGCAGGGCAGCATGGTTTATGTTGGCTCATAATTTGAGGGTCCGTCCATCATCACAGGGGAAGGGTCACTACTGGGGGTGGGGCAACCTTGGTCAAGGTCAGAAGAGAGAGAGTATAATTAGAAAGAGGACCTGGGGGAGAGGTTCATTGTCAACCTCAGGGGGTGCAGGGGAAAGGAGAGAAGAAATAGAGCAGTCTCCATTAATGGTCAGTTTCATCAATTATTAAATAAAGATGAAACAGTTAAAACAGTATGCATATTTCAGTGAACGCCCGGCTCAATCCTGCCTGTGGATGAAAGATACCTCTCTGCCTGGGGGCCTGGGGGCCTCCGGGCACCACACACATATAACCCTGGTGTTCATTGGGGCCCTGACAGCAGCACCTTGCAGCATTACAGGGGAAATGGGGTATAGGCATCACAGTGCAATAGTAGCCCCCTCTTTTCAGATGTCCAGGTTTAGCCTTGCCTTAGTTCTCAAGGCTGCGTCAAAGCAAGTGTAGTCCTTAGGAACTGGAGAAAAGTTCCCTATGCTGGTCCTAAACAGACACAGATAAGTCTTAGAGCGTCTGGGGTGAAAAGGAGGCGTCCACTGCTTATTAGGAGAAGCCTCCTTCCTGTCCTCTGGTACCTCCACCATTTTTGAGAATGTCTGAGCATAGTCCCCAAAGGATCAGGGACAGATCTGTGTCCTAAATGCTATTGAGATTTAAACCAACTACCTGCATCATCTCTCTTGGGAGTAAGTCATAAATGTTGTATGCAAGTTCCTGCTGGGAACATCTCTGGAGTGTTTCTTTACCTTAACAGAAGATGGCTTCTTTAGCCAGGTGGTGGTGGTGCGCGCCTTTAATCCCAGCATTAGGGAGGCGGAGGCAGGTGGAGCTCTGTGAGTTCAAGGCCAGCCTGCATGGTCTACAAGTTAGTTCCAGGACAGGCTCCAAACCCTGTCTCAGGAAGAAAAAAAGAAAAGAATAAGGTTTCTTTACAAGGAAGACAGAAGGAGGGACAGAAAAAAGGAGGGAAGGAGGAAAGGAGGGAGGGGGCTGGTAGACAGGCAAGCAAACCTGAACTGGTGGGTTAGTTGGTTCAGAGAAGACGCCTGCTTATATGAAAGGCTTTGGCCTTTTTTTTTTTTTTTTTTCTCTTTTAAATTGCCATTCAAGGTTAAAAGTGTAAGCAGCCAGAGACTCTCCCACCCAGGGAACTTCTTTCTGCCTCAGGAATTATCTCCGCACCCACAGGAATAGGACTCTGTAGTAAGCGAACCGAGAGGAACCGAGGATAGTTGCTGTGTCGTGCTACAGGGTCAGCAGCACAGGGATCCCGAGAGGAGAAAGAGCATAGAGTCCCAGCCTGGCTCGCATTGCGTTTCCCAGCTATGGAGTTGGACATTTAGTTTTCGAACAGAGGCTCTGCCGCTGCTCTCTGCCCCAAATTCCTGTACCACCACAGATTTTCCTCTGTAGAGAGAGGAGAAAATAAAGTAAGCTTGGAGACACCAGGAGTGAGAGCAGAACTTAAAGGTGGCGGCCATTAAGACCCTGCTGGGGACAGAGTTAGGTCCCTTGTATCCATCTTTCTCCGCCCAGGAGGCATCTGGACAGGGTTAGGTCTCTAAGGAATTTATCCTGGGTGCTCGGAAAGCCGGGGAAAGAACTGCAATGGTGCCATGTCTGGGTCTTTCATGATCCTGGCAGGCATCCAGGAAAGTGAAAAGAAGAAAGAATGGGGAGGGGGTTCTGGGGTGTATGAATGAATGCCTTGTTAGAGAAAGGTTTGGGGGCATGTAATCAAGGGCCCTCGATTGCATTGGGGTGCTAAGCAACCACATGGGCACCGCCGCTTCAGTGGTCACGTGGCTGTTGTTGGCTCACAACTTGGCTGATCACACACAGGGTCCCACATGCTCATTTATCACAGGACACGAGTCCTCATGGGATCGGTGCATCGCATAGACTAGGCGTGGACAAGGATGGGCAGCTGTCTCTCGGGATAAGTCCCAGTTGGCAGCTATGCCAATGCATGGTCTTATTGGCCTCCATATAAATTCTGCTGATATTCTGTAAAGCATGAATTATTTTGGGTGCTAAAAACCAAAGCCCAAGAGTTGAGAATTGGGGTAGTATGCTTTCCCTGTTTCTGGGGATACCTAAGTCAGCACGGACGATTTCCCAGCCAGGGAGGGCCGCAACTACAAGCTGTCTTGATTGGTAGAGATCAAATTTTATCCCCATTTCCCCCCCTCAATTTAAAAAGCACCTGAATTTGGTTAGCAGAGGTGTGGCAGGAAACAGGGGAACACGTGAAATTAAGAGTGAGTGACATGTATTCACGAACATACGACAGATCTCGTACATTGGCATGGAGTTGTGTGCAAGAAGAAAGATATAGACAAAAAAGAGTAGACAGTATCATGGTCTCATTTCAAAGCGGGAGAGTTCATACCTTGCCACAAAGAAATCTGGTTTTAACCAGGAACACCAAAACATATGTCACCTGGGCCTTATTTTGATTTCCCAAAGTTTTAGGTCCTTGGTTTTATAGCTGCGGATGGAGCAAAAGCCCATGAAAGACCTGGGAGGGAGGGGGCTTGTATTCAGCATGCTTCTGAGTTGCTACTTTGGTAGCACGTGAGAACTGGGAGGGAGGAAATGTTCTATGATAACATGGAGGTCCTAGCTCCGCATGAGGATGGTACGGCCTGAGACCGGAGGCTCTGTCATGTCCCAAGTTGGCAAACACTGAAGATCCTCAGAAAGCATCTTGTTTAGAACAGTTCACTTAGATTTAAAGTCCCTTCAGCCTTTATGTGGCAACTATATCCAGTTAAAAAAAAAAAAAAAGCAACTACTTGGGGACATTAGGATCATACACCCCGCTGGCCAAAGGCAGTGTTAATCCCCTCTGTTTCGGTCTGGGGTCTGTGGGCCAATTCTGCTAGTCTACTTGATTTATTTCTCTCCTCCTTTCCGCCCACAGCCTCTCTGGCTCCAAGGAACTGGCAGTGGTGATGCAAATGAATAGTCCTGCTGCCCAGGGAGAAAAGGGGAGTTAAACTTAATGTCATTAGACCATTGGCCCTTATCCCCGAGGGAGAGAGTCTGGGAGAGGAAGGAAGGAGAGATGTACTTTTCCTATGAAGGCAGGTTTCAAAGGATGGAAAGAGAAGCCTTGAGGTCAAATCTTCCCACCAGGAATCTAAGCCATGAGTAACCACTGGGGGTTTGGCCACCAGAATGGGCTTACTTGAGTCCTGGAATATGGTCATCTATCTTGTCCCCAGAGGAGTGGCTTTAAAGTCTGTTTGTGGTCACCCCATGTCACAGAGAACCTAGGTTCCCTTTTGTGCTTTCTTAGTCCCCTTTGTAAAATTATTTAAAAGCTGACCGAGAAGGTCTCTAAAATTCTAATAAAATGATTCTCAAGCTTCCTTCTCGGCTGGAATTTTAGAGAAAAACAACCAAGACAGACAAATGGTAAATCCTGGCATGTCTCCCTCTAGAGGAGGGAGATGGAAAAGGGAGAAATTCCTGCCTTTGGGTTAAGGTCAGCAGTGGAGGCCTGCAAGCACGGTCTCAGGAGGAACACTGAGAAAGTTCAGAGCATTGTCTCAAGTGTGTTTAGGGATTTTAGATGGTATTCAAAGAGGAAGGTTCTTGAGTTAGAACTTAGAAAGTCAGGCAGGCTTAACCGTAAATATCTGTAAGCCAGGCTTCTAGAGGGTGTGACTCCATTATTTCACTGAGGGGATAATTATTCCTCCCATCTCTTTAGCATAGACCTCAAAAGAGTCTGCTTTCCTGATCACCTGGCCAGGCTCTTGACAGGCCCAGTTTGTGCCAAGTCCTTTACTGCTTGTTCCTAGAAATATGACTAGGAGAGTGAGAGAATGAAGAAAAGACAGACAGACAGACAGACAGACAGACAGGCAGGAAAGCCCGGTTCAGTGACCCATGTGTTTACTCTGGTAGCACATACCTACTAGACAGCAACCCAGAAATTCAGGGTGTTTATCATGTTAGCTGGTCTTGGTACATCTCTGCACCCTCTTGCACAGCAGAAACTGGGGCCAGTTCAGTATCTCAAAGTTGGGCAATGAAGGCTGGCTTTAGAGCTAAGAAAAAACAAGTTGGTGACTGTCAGGGAATGTACAACGTGAGTCCCCCAACTGGTTAATTGCTCTGTCTCAATCTGGTCATTGATGTACAGTGTTTCTTGTAGAAACCCACAGAGAGTATAGCTCAAGATGCCGAAACAAGCAGGGAATCCCCTCCCTCCCTTGCTCCACCATTGCTTATGTGCGGCCTGAATTGCATGGCAGTGTGCTTGCAGAGACAGTGGCTTAGCAAGCCCCAGCATGTCCACGTCTTGCCTCTGCATCTGCTTTTCAATTTTAGGCTGAGATAGTTCCAGCTATTCAATCATGATGACACAAGTCTAGACAGGTGACACCAGATCAAATCAGGCCACAGCAGAAGACACCAGTGCCCCCTGGACAAGCCTCTTTTGGAAGGCACCAGGAATTCCCTTCCCCACCCCCACCACGTGCCCCACCCGGTCTGGGTTTGGTGGAGGCTGGAGAAGAATGGAATTTATCATTCCAAAAACATCTGAAGTGTCTTCCACCGAGAAATAGGACGCAAGCCTGCCTTTCCCTCCCCTAACATTGCCCCAAATCTCAGCCATGTACATTTTTAGCCTACAAATTTGGAGAAATTACGCACATACCTGACCCTACTAATCAATGTTGAAAGGTGAGCTCCCTGCCAGAGGACCGAAAAGTTCGGGTCCTTGTCTGCCCGCTCAAGAGGTAGGTAGGAAGCAGCTGCCTCCCTCAAAACCCGTTCATTTTACCCAGCAGGAGTCCTCAGCTTTCGCACTGCTGAGGGGCTGGGCTAATCCCCATTGGGGCGGGATGTCTGCTGATGAAGGATGTTTATCAGTCTCCCCATCTGTTTATCCGCCTGCATCCTGCTGTCTGTGAGAATGAGAAGGGCCAGTGGTTCCCTTCTCTGAGAACCATTCCACCAAACCCGACAGCGGAGCATGTTCTGACTTCACAGGAATCCCAGGGCAATTTCCAGTCAGTACAGCCTCCCAGGAAAAATGTTAGTAAACCAGAATGAAGTGTATCATTAAGTTTCAACTAACTAGATACAAGGTATCAGCCTTGCCTCCATCCCGCAGGACCAGAACCTGCCCTAGGGATCTGCAAGTTCGCCCAGCTGCCTCAGATGGGAGGTGCGGTGCTTTAGACACCTGGCCTAGCAGGACGCTGACCCATCTATCCAGCAGCAGCTGGATATCACGGCAGTATGACTGGAACCCAGCTCATGACATTTGGCGACCACTGGTTATTCCAGAAAGGAGTTCTTTGTGTGCCTTGGGAACAGGCCACATGCTGACCATTCACAAAGCAGGTTGGTGGGGTTTAGGCGAAGGCCCCACAATGCTCCCTCAGCCAGGAGAGGCCATGCTGAAGGTCATGCTTATTTTGTAGTTAGAAGAGTTACTAGTCCCGTTCTAGAACGACAGAAACACCTTAGGGGCCTCTTTAGTCTCCTTCACTAGGCTGGCACGCTTACCCTTCATTCAGGTCACACTGGCTTCCTCCAGGAAGACTGGTTTAGGTGGGACCTATTCTTACACCCCATGGTAGCCTGTGTTCCCCTCAGAAGAGCTGTAGCTGTGTCGACCTCTGAACCCTTTGCCACCCTCAGCTGATGAAGCCGATCCCCATACTATCCGATGGCTTAGACTGAAGCTGTATTTATCTGATGGATGCAAGCAGGCTCCGTGTCAGGAGGATCTAAGTTCAGCCTCCAGGTTTATATAAAAAATGAACAGGACAGATCTGTTGATAACATCGAGCCCTCAGCTTCCTTATCTGAAGAAACACGGATAATAAACCCACCTCTTAGATTTGGAAATGAACTGAAATAATGTCCCCGGGACAAGCTTGCCATGCTGTACGCAGCTCTCATGGCTTCAGAACACTGTCCTTTCCATCCTTCAGCGTTCCATTTCATTCCCAAAACAGCATCGTTCATTGATTTTTTTTCCCTTGTTGCAAATATTTAACAGCATTTACCGTCTCAGAAGGCTAAAAAACAATTTTATCTTGAAATATATTATCTGTAATTAATAGAACCGCGTGCCCCCAGGTATGAATAATCAGCCAATCGTCTCCGGGCCTCTCCAGCTTCTCCTCACGCTACCTCTGATTATCCCTGAGGTACAACTGAGGAAACTTCATCATGCATCGTGTGTCATCTGGAGGCTTCAGATGCAAAGAGGACTAACACAGCCTGTCCACATTCTCCCCTTTCCCTCCTTCCTCACTTCCTCTCCTCTCTCTTCCCGCCTTCCTTTATCTCTTCTTTCCTCCTGTCTCCTTGCCCTCCTTCTCCCCTCCTTCCTATGTCTTCACTCCCTTCTTTAAGAACTTACTGAAGCTACCTCCATTCCAAGTACCATCTCGGAGCAGCCTGGCACACCCAGGCCTTAGTTACTCCACCTAGGCTGTCAGAATAATGTGAAGGACACTGTGTAAAAGGGGGTGCAGGTGCTGCGGGCAAACTGAGAGAAGGCCACACTGAAACTAGACCCTGGGCTCACATTTCCATAAGAAGTGACCATGAGATGACCAAGAAAATGCAGGAGCAAGGCCAGTCAAGGGAGCAAGTGGCAGGGTCAGTGAGCTGACCCAGTGGGTCCAAGTGTTTGCTGTACAAGCCCAGTGACCTGAGTTTGACGATTGCCTTAGCCCACTGTGGAAGGTGAACACTGACTCCCAAGAGTTATGTACTGACCTCCACGTGTGCATCTGCACACACACCATACGTGCACATGCCAACAAATTCTATTTGTTTAAAAAGGAAAGAACACGAGGGCATGAAGACCAGGAAAGTGACAGAATGTGACATCCAAGTTCTGCCAAGTGAATAGGATCAGAGGGTAGGGTTACCAAGACATGGAGAGAGATGTGAGGCCGGAGGAGAAGAATGAAGCCACATTTGAGGAACCCTCTGCCATCTGTAGGCAATTTCTCTGTCCCAGGAGGGTGGTGGCAGAGCCCTGTGGATCTGGGAGTGGATGGCAGGGGGACTCAGAACACAGTAGGGACAGTGAGCTTACAGGACGGGCACTCTGGTGAAATAAGCCATGGTCGGAGCAGGGACTGAGCAAAAGACCCTGTGATGAACTCCATGGGGGAGAGACCGGAAGTGAAAAGGAAGCCCAGTCTACAGGCCATGACAGGAGGTGGCTGCTGCAAGGATAAGGACTGACACCTGATCTTGTCTTTTGTATTTTACATGCACACTTCACACGTGTGCGAATGTGCATGTGCATGCACACGCGTGCACATGAGTGCACACACATACACTCAATATTCTTTTTAATATATGTGTGTATATATGTATATATGTGTGTGTATATATATATACATATATATGTGTATTTGCCAAAATAGTTTAGACAAAGTTCTCGTTCCTTCTATTTTCTGTTTTGAGGCCGCCGTGAGCAGTCACGGGCATAGAAGGCTCTGAGGATTGGCGCTCAGGTCACCTGACAGGCACATGCTAACAGAAGCTCCTTTTCCTGGCCGACCATTCACGTTTCACAGTGCTTCCTTGATTCTTCTCCGCTCAGCTAATTCTGTCAGGGAAAGGAGGAAGCCAGGGGGGGAAAAAAGCCTGTTTGGGTGTGACGTGGAGCCCTCGAGTGGCACCAGGATGGGGGAAAGTGACAGAATATGACAGTCAGTGTCGTGTCCATTGGATGTTTCAGCCGAGAGCGGACAGAGTGGCGGGCAGTTCCAGGGCCGGCCCTCGGAGGTCTGGTCTCAGTGGCAGAGCCAGCACCACGGACAGCAGAGCGGTGAGCAGCACTCCCACCAGCCTGGCCAGACTGAAGTGTTCCAGGTAAATCCAGCGAGCAGCGCCTTCTCGTAGGTGTAGGTACCTGCGCCTTCTCTGCTTCCTTATGCCCCTCTCTGCACCTCTGCCTGCCCTACCCGGTAGCCAGCAAGAGATCCCGCCCAGCCTGTAATATGGGAAGCCCACAAGTAGAAGGTCCTCCACTGCCCGGTCAAAGCCTGCGGGTACACAGAAGATGCAGACAGGCCTTCGGCCTTTCAGATATACCCACAGAGAGGAGGCTGCCAACTGAACCGCACCCCAAAGTTGCCCAGGAGGGAGGTATGGAGCCAAAGACGGTAGGACTCTGGAGCAGGGTCCATGCCCCTTTAAGGGCTAGAGGACCTTGATGCTCACTGTGGCAGTATGTACAACCTCCAAGAGCTGCAGTCCCTAGGGGCTAGACTGCTTCAGCCTATCTCCTCTTCACTATGGCAACCAGGAGACGGGACCCCCTTCCCCAGACCCTCAACCCATGACGGCTGGAGCAATGCTCAGCTCTCTAGACCTGGTTGTATACCGGCTGAGGGTCCCAGGCTGCTTCCACCCTGCCGCCACTGGAGACATGCCTTGCTGTTCTCAATTCCCAGCACAGACCAACCTCACCGTGCTGATGACAAGGCCATGGGGCTGCTAATCACACAGGGCTCAGCCTCCCAGGTTTCCCCGGAAGGCTGTAAGTGCAGGCATAAGTTTCTTGACTCCCCTCGGTTACAAGTTGGGGCTGCCCAGCCAGCCTCCTAGCAGCCGCCTAGGCTCTTCTGTGGGGCCCCCAGAGTGCTGCCTGCCCTGTACAGCAAGGCTCCAGGCAAGAACCAAGTTGTAGGAGGCTCAGGCCACACTTCCTGCTCAAGGTTCAATGTCCCATTCTCTCTCTCTCACACACACACACCCATTTCACTCCCCCCGGTCAAGTGTCATCTTCACAGACCCAGATCTAGATCTAGGTGTCACTCCGATCCACAGGGTCGTACCCCCTTCCCAGCACAGGGAGGTGCCTTTCCCAAGCCTCCCTTTGACTTCCTTCCTTCCCGTTGTAAAGACCAGCCCTCACCCACTGCTCATTTCACACAGCGACCCTGAAAGGCACAATTTCCTAACACTGTGTCTCTTCAAGGTCATGCTGCCAAAAAGAATTCTTGGTCAGTAATTTTGTGAGACACCCATTAAAGCAACTTACTCGGTTTCCTTCTTGCAGGATTTACCAGAGCCTTTATGATACCAGCAAGGACTGGGTCTCTCACGTTTGACCGCAGAATTCTTTTCCCACCATTATTCTATGGGCTGGGAATTGGACAAAAGCCCAGTGGAACTTTTGCCCTAAGGAACTGAAACTCCCCCCAGTGTTTTCAGCACAGGTAGTCTAAGGTCTAGCCAACTAGGACTAGATAAAGTAACCAACCTTTCACTCGGGGATGGCACCACCAACCCTGACAGGCCCCTGCACCCAGGTCCTACCTGCTCGGGCTCCTGCTTGGTTGACAGTCACATAACTGTTCAGTCTGTCTTACTGCTCTAGGCCTTGCTTGCCCAGATGGACTCTTTCCACCGGTGAACTTAGCTTTAGAATAAAGGCTATGATCTGGCAGTGTTTACCTTCAGCGTGACCCCCCCCCCCAGGAGAGCAGCTCCCAGGGGGGCTCAGGTATTGAGGATCTCTGAAGCCCCAAATTATTTGATCCTGGATACCAAGCTATGCAAAGGAACACTTGCTCACTAGAGAGATGGCCAAGGGGATGAGTGACAGGGCTGGACTCCGGGACAGGGCAGGCTCCGGGTGAGGCTGCTGACCGTTGGGGCTTTCTGTTCTTCTCCTCTCCAGGACATGCTGCCTATGCCGGGGGACCCGACACAGGGGACTGGCAACTATAACATCGAGGACTTTGCTGACCTGGGCATGTTCCCTCCGTTCTCTGAGTAGCTTCAGGCAAAGCCAGGCTCCTACTGCCCAGGCTCTGTTCTTGTCATGGCATAGATGCTCATGTCCAAAGGGACCACCCCTACCCACCCAGCTTGCCCTGCTGGAGAGTCCCTAGAAGCCACCCTGACTTCCCGTCTCCCTGGACATGGCATCATCTATCTGGCTCTAACCCACAGGCCTGGCTTCTTGGGTTTGGGATCTTTGTATTTATTGTACTTTATCTGTGTGCTCGGAATGGGGCCTCCAGGGTCCTTAAATTCCATTGTGAATAATCTCCTCATGGACAGTGTGCACCCACCAAGTTTGCTTGGCATCCGCAATGGCTGCAGCACCAGCAGGTCTGCCTGGTGCAGAGGCTGGGTTTCTTTCTGCTTTTTCACAGCTGATGCCTGAGGGCTTCAGGTCGGGCTGATAGGCAGTAACCTCCACATCCTGTGTTGGAGCCAGGAGCACTGGGACTTGAGACTTTGTCCACGTGCTGTCCTGGATGGCCTGGGGCCGGGTGTGTTTTGTGCAGCGAGAATCAAAGTTGTGACTTGGTGGATGTACTGTGGCGTGTTGGCGTGTGTGGCCAGTGAGTGGGAAAAGCTGTCCCCAGTCAGCTGCATTTCAGAGGGCAGCTTGACAGGGGCCTGGAAGCTGGGCTGATGGCCAACCCTCCAGCACTGTCCCCAGGAGTCAGGGCTGGGAAGCCGTTCACTCTGTAAGTCAGTTCTTTGGTCCTCTGACCCTTTTACAGACAGCCTCCACGTCAAGCTTTTAGCCCTTCCTCCTTGCAACCTATGAGAGCTCTCACTCTTCCCTTACTAGGCCTGAGGGACAATGTCCTGATTCCACAGAGGTCACTGCATTCTCCTTGCTCTGTAGCAGAGCCGAGCTGTTTCCTGCCCAACATCCAGGAAGTCACACCTGGCCCTCTGTGTAGGGTTACACCTTTCAGTGTCCCTGACACCTTCTGCTCAGTAACCGAGGAAGATGGGGCCACATTGTGGGTGGGGAAGGGTGCTCTGAGCCCCTTGAGCCTTGGTTCTCAGCAGACAGAAAAGCCAGGTGTACCTCAGAAGGAACACAGACAGGCCTTGGAGGCCGGGGACCCGGCTCTGGGCACATTCTTACAGTGGTCTTACGGTGGAACTACGAGCTAACCGCTAGAAACTTCTGCCTGGCTTATCTCTGTGTCCCTGTGTCAGTCAGGTTTGACAGAGCTTCAGACTCCACCCCAATTTCAGGTCCCGCCGCTCCTCCCCCATCCCATGTGCCATGGCGAGTGCTGCCTGCCTCCCTTCACTTAATCGAGCCCCATCTTAAGTAATCCGTGGCCGTGGATCAGCCCACTAATGCCCAAGTGTGAGAGAAGCCACCAAGGCCTACCCAGGCCCTGAGGCCCTCTGCAGCTCTTTCAGAAACGTGGAGGCTAAGCTCTCAGACCAGCCCTGCCTTGCTGCCTGGCTCCTGGGGTGCTGGGAGTACATAGGTTCCAGGACCCATGAGAGCAGAATGAACATGTGGATTAAAGGCTCCAGAGACCGCCAATGCATTCCAACCTCAGCGTTGCCTGCCATCCAGAGCGTACTTGGGTTTTTACAGGATTCACCTGCAATCTCTACTTCACTCAGCAGAATGCCTTTGGTGATCCCTGTCCCTGACAAACTGTGGCCCCAGAGGTCCTCAGACAGCTTGAGCCCTTCCACGGAGAGTAATAACACAGCCTGAGGTTCACCCCAGCCTCAGAATCCCACGTAGGTCTCCTATGTATGCTGTCTGGTGCACCTTCTGTCCCCAGCAGCCTGGAGCTGGCCTCAAGTGGTGAGCATAAGTTAGAAAAGAGAAAAAGGCCCAAAGCTAAGTTCAGGAGTAGAGAATCCTTTTCAGGGATGACAACAGCCATGGCCTTTAGCTTGTGAGTTAAGAGGTGTAAGGAGCTGTGGGTTTGGTTTTTTTACTTTGGAGGGAAGTTGGGGCTTTTCTTGGGTATGTGACACAGTTTACATGGGCTGTCACTCCCCAGTGTGAGCTCACCTGCTTTGTGATGGCTATGGCCTATCACACAAGCAAAAACAAGTCATTTGCTAACCAACAGAAGCAAGGCTAAATTGCAACCCTCTCTGTAAGTGGCCGTGGGTTGCTATGTCCTAACTTGCCAGTCCACCCAACCCTATCCTACCAAGCTGATGCTCACCTGAAGTGCCACCACCGGGGAAACTGAAGCAGGAAAGGTCGTGAGCTTAGGAGTTCAAGATCTACCTGGGTGACATCATAAGACCAATCTCAAAAATATATAGCTGAGTATCTTGGCCACATTCCATGTACTGAGGCATCACCAGCTACCTGGCTGCTCGCTTCCTCCACTGCCTAGAATCTGAGACAGTTTTGAAGAGAGAGCTCACAGGGCATGGGCACACTTCCACATGTGACATGCCATGCCTTGTGCCCTGAGCTGGGGTTTGTTGAGGCAACCTGCACAGCCTTGTGTATATTGGCCGTTGCATAATGGCCATGCACAGGCCATGTGGGGTCCAGCAGTTTGCTTTGTCTAACCATCTATGTCCTTAAAGAGGAAATTCACAAGCAGGCTTCCGTGGACAGTAAGCACTTACTCATCTCTCATTTAGCCTTTCTTCTTATGGATGTGAACTGTGCCGTGGGTAAATCATTTGTATTTCTTGAGCGTTCTGTATGACTAACAGGTATTAAAGTCACTGGGTATATGTGTAACTAATGTAACTGCCTTTTAAATTTTCATTACAATAAAAAATGACTTTGCTCTGAACGGCGAGTGCCTCGGGACCAGCCTGGTAATTGATCAACTTGAGGCACCTGCCCCCAGGAGTCTGGGAGACGCCACCTCCAGCCAATCAAGGACACGCAGTGCAGGAATGCTAAGGAGCCACACTTTGCAGGTTCTAGCTACTCAGGACAGGAAAGGAAACAAATGGTTCCTGAGCAATGTTCTCAACCCGTGTGACTCCCTTGATGAACCTCTACCTCCAAAATAATATTTGCATCATCATTCATAACAGTAACAAAATTATTGTTATAACATAGCAACAAAAATGATTGTTACATGAGGGACTGTATTAAAGGGTCCCAGCATTACGAAGGTTTAGAACCACTGGTCTTGAAACTCAGTGTAAGGCAAGGCTCTCTAGAAAACTGGACTTCACAGACACTAAAAGTACTTGTTTTTCCAAAGACTTTCAAGAGAATGCCTGCAAGAGAGGAGCCCTGAGTCACACATCTGAGGAAGACTTGTGTCCAGGAACTTCTGGGTGCAAGGAATGACTCCTGCCACTCAAGACAGAAATCTGAGTTCCAATGAGAAGAGCTGGATATAGCACATCGGTGGTTTTCCTGAGAATTCATAGGCAGGCTGCTGGGCGTGACACGTCTACAGTTCCAGCTTCAGGCAGGCTGAGGCAATGGGATTGCCTGAGTGAGGATTGCCTGAGTGAGAGTAGGAGTTCCAGACCAGCCTAGGCAACACGGTGAGAAGCTATCTCAAATGCTGTATTCACATACAAAGCACATACAGATATGGCATTTTTGGTTAATATCCTTAGTTCTAGAGGAATTCTAAAAATCACAAATGTTGTTTAGAATAAGGGGACAAAACCCTCATTCATAAGGAAATAGTATGGCCGGGTCACATGAAGGTTCCTTACTGTGCTTTTTGTTTGTTTTGGTTTTGGTTTTGATTGTTTGTATGTTTTTTCAAGACAAGGATTCTCTGTGTAGCCCTGGCTGTCCTGGACTGATCTACCTGGCTCTGCTGGACTGATCTACCTGGCTCTGCTTCCCAAAGGTGTCTGGCACCAATGCCTGGCTTCCTACAGAGTTTTAACAGGACTTTTTCTTATTTTCTTTATTTTTTTTTTCTTTTTGTTTATTTTGAGACAGGGTTTCTTTGTAGCTTTGGAGCCTGTCATGGAACTTGCTCTGTAGACCAGGCTGGCCTTGAACTCAAAGAGATCCACCTGTCTCTGTCTCCGGAGTACTGAGGTTAAAGGTGTGTGCCACCACTGCCGGGCTTGATAAAATGATAAAAATCACCATCATCTCCCTGTCTCTCCTCAACTTCCAACCGGGGAAATTAAGGCACGTCTCTAGTTGCTACATGGAAGGTCACTTTGCCTGTTCACCTTCTCCAGCATGTTATTTCTGTAAACAGGTACGTGACCCCTACCACCTGTTAGGCATGGTGCTGGTGTTTTGTTAACATAAAGAAAACCTAGACTTCCTGGGCATAAAGAGTCACCCATCCCCAGGGAAAGAGATGAGCAAGCAAAACACAAATTTCTGGAATGTGCTAAGAGCCTAGGAATAAGATGCCCATTGGGCACCAACATAAAAGTGGGCTGCATTCAGGAAAAGCTGAGGTGATCAGCATGACTTAACCACTGGCAAAGCACCCTGCCCTTGACTTGACCTCTGGACCAGGGACTTGAAATCCCACCAATCCCTGATCTTGCCCCAGAATCAGACCACAAAAATCCACCAATCCCAAGCCACCCTGAAAAGCTCTGCCCGCCTCCCCACGCGAGAAACCCTGTACAAGCCCTGTTCAGTGTGGGGCTGTTTCTCACCTGAGATGGCCAGCCTCCTGGATGCTTCCCAGCAAATCTCTTGACGGAGGTTTGTTGTATGATGTGACATTTTTGCGAGTGGAGCCCAGCTGTAACAACTTTTGCTGGAGCCGGAACCGGAGCTGGACTGGGGCAGAACGGTAACTAGGGAAACTTTTTTACTTTTTTACTGGGGAAACTTTCCCCAGGCAAAGCAGAGTTGTTACCCTCCAGGGGACCTGAGCAGAGCTGCAACTCTTCTCCAGAGTAGAGTTGTAGCAACTTCTGGGGGAAACATTCCCCTGTGGGAGCAGAGCTGTTACACTTCCATTGGGGAAACCTTTCCCTGGAGCAGAGCTGTAAGCTGCTAGTTTACAGTGACTTGGCGGTATTCCTTGGCTCCGGACTGCCAGGATCCCTTCCCATCTAAGCTGCAATGCTTACAATAGTGTCTTTGCTGGTTCACAGCTTCTGAGCTCAGTTCTTCCAGGGAACACTTAAAGCATTCCCATCTCAAATCCCAAGACTCTAATAAATTCTGCCACAGGTGCAGTCTCCCTGCAGGACACTACATTAGAATGCCTGGCACGCGTCCTGCTGTTGGTTCTTTAGATACAACCTCCTAGCGCCTGATTCCTCCCACATTTTTACTAAAAGTCAAATACATAAATGAAAAAAAATTTAAGTAGTTTGCTAATGAGCGAAGAACACATTTCACCATCGTGATCTGTTAGCCTGTGAGCAATTTCTTCTCCCCTGGCTCCTCAAGGGAAGAAGAAATTTCTGCTCATTTTTCTCATGAAATCTCTACATCCTTAAATGGTCACCCTGTTTCTCTTGCTGCCATGTTTGCATTTAAGGTGGGTCCACAGACCTGAGCCATGTCATCTTGATGGCGAAATGTGTCCTTTGCTTCCTGGGGGGAAAGTTCACAGAGCTACTTGGTCATCAAGGATCATCAAGAGCCAAGTAAGTGCTAAAGCTTAGTCATTATAGGTCCGCCTTCCATAGCAGAATAAAGGTCCATTGGAGACACGCAGGGTCTGTCTTCAGGTGAGGAAGCATGGAGTTAAGGGTCCAAATAGCTTGCTACCAGCTATCATGGGAGAAGACATTAGGAGAAAAAAAAATTACTCCTGGTGAAAGTTGCCTCTGGACTTTGGTTGATGAGTTTATGTTCATCATAATTCAGAATCCATGGTATTCAACTCCTGTCCTTTTTTTTTTGTTTTGTTTGTTTTTATTGTTTGTTTGTTTGTTTTGTTTTTCGAGGCAGGGTTTCGCTGTAGTTTTAGAGCCTGTCCTGGAACTAGCTCTTGTAGACCCAGGCTGGCCTTGAACTCACAAAGATCTGCCTGCCTCCTTCTCCCAAGTGCTGGGATTAAAGGTGGGCACCACCACCGCCCGGCAACTCCTGTCCTTTGAACCATCAGTAACTCATTGCACTCTGGCTCTCCCACTGTTTCTTCACGGCCCATGTCTAGAGCGAGCCCGTATTGACTGATGGCAAACTAGTGACTTCCAGGTGCGTCTCAGCTGCCCCAACCCTTTGCTGGCTATAAGCCAGTATCTTGTCTTTTTATTCCCGTTTCAAGCTGTGATGTGGAGGCTGAGAGCTGAGGTGGATGCATGGCTGGCATCTGGTTGTAGCAGAAACAGGTTGGAATCAAGCGCAGGCCGGGAGAAGAAGGCAAGGCCAGGATCAGAAAGATGCGGAAAACAAGCATCTCAGCTGGGGATCCTGGGGCTTTGCACCTTAGTTTTATTGGAGAGCTGTCCAGATAGCCGGTCTTGCTTTTGTGTATTGATGATGGAAGGGAAATGAGGTCCTGTACAGAGGGGCAAGAGGGTGGCATTTCATCTAAACGGATCCTCCATGTCAGTGAAGATTCTGGGTGAGGAACAGACAAGATTGACAAGCATGGGGAAAGAGGTGATTCCCGGCCGCCATGAGGCAGCTATGGAGTCTTGGGGCCAGCTCATGAAATGAAGGTATGTCCCAGGCAAACGGCCTGAAGATGAAGAAATGGAAGAGGCAGAAGTGTAGCTGTAGCCAGGACAGAAATGCTGGGCCTCACTGTGTCCTAAGCACAAGGATCAGTCATAGACTGACCTGTAATCCAAGGGACCATTGCCCTCAGTGTTATGGTGGATATAAACGAGGTAGTTAGGGTTGAGAGCAAGCAGCCCGGCTAAGGAAATCAGAGAAAGCAGAGATTCTGCCAACTATTGTTACCCTCTTAGGAAGAACATGTCAGGCCCTTGGGACATTTTCCTGTGATGGACACATTTAATCTTGAAGAAAAAATGACTGTTTCTGTACTATTCTGATACTAAAGATGTGGACAAGACTTTGAACTCAAAGAAACCTGTTTTTTTCCAAGAGCTGGGAGGAGCGGCCTGTCTTTGTTTACCTGGGACTTTCCACTGTTCGCAGCAGAAGCCCCACGTTCCAGGAAATGCCTTTAGTCCTGAGAAACTAGGACATTTGGTAACCCAGCCCAGGACCCCAGGATTTGTTGGCAAGAAAGGCAAGGTCCTGGAGAGGAGGAAGTGGACAGGATTTTGCAAGCCCTCAGAAGGCAGGAGCTGGCATGGATCTCAGTAACAGCTGAGACCAGGTTCTCAGATGAGGAAGAAGTCTAAAAGTTCAAAAGAGTTTTCTTTTCTTTCCCAAAAGCCTTAGCAAGAGAGAAAAGCTGAAGTCTGGGGAGACGGCTTAATGGCTAAGTGCTTGTCACTCGGGTATGAAGACCAGTGATCCAGTCTCCAGAGTTTATATAAATGCAGGGAGGTCTCGGGGGCCAGCAGATAATCCCAGCCCTCGGGAAGTGAGCTCCAGGTCATGAGGTGAAAATCAAAGAAGACAGCTGACATCAGCCTCTGGCCTCCATTCACACGTGTGCACACTTGCATACATACATAAGTGTGCCTACGCAGGCGAACATGCATAGACACACACAGACCACAGCTTCACCCAGACAAGACCTAGATGAGCAAGACCAAGTGTCAGACCCTGATACAGAAACCGAGGGACTGTTTCCATTACATACAGCTCACTGGACAGGTCGAGAATGGCCTTTACACGTTAACGTGGAGAAGCCTGACCCAGTCAGAGTGGCCTGCTCTGCCTGAGTCCGCGCCACGGCAGCAGTGGCGACCGGGAGCTCATTTGGTAACTCAGATCCTGGAGGAATAGCAGACTTTAAGCCTGACCTCTGCAGACAACACTCTCTCTCCCTGGAGGAGAAACCAGCGTACGCTCTCTGCTGAGCCTGAAGTCTAAGCTAGCATGCCACACTCGCACATACGTGTGTGCTCTTGCATGACTCACAGGATCCTTGCTGAGCATGAAGTCCAAGTTATCATGCCACGGTCACGTGTTGCTTAATTCACAATACACAGGATACAGAACCCACCCAACTGTCCCACCAGACAAATAAAGAAGATGTAATAGAGTTTCATTCAGCTTAGAACAAGACTGTGTCATCTGGAGTGAAATAGATAGGAGTGGAGATAGCGTTAATCTAAGCCAGTCTCAGGCAAGTATTGCACATGTTTCTCTCATATGCAGAAGCTAAATTTAAATACATATATATGCAAATATATACATACGTCACGTGAATGTAGAAGGGGTGCTAAAATATATACATATGTCACGTGAATGTAGAAGGGATGCTTTTAAAATATATTGTATTAATTCTTTGAGAATTGTATATATGCCTATAATATATTTTGATTCTATTTGCTCTCCCAATTCTCCTAACTCCTCCTAGGCCCACCTACCAGAGTCACACACTTAGAGAAACTGACTTTTCCCCTCCCCTGCATCAATTGTCAATATCTCCTCAGCTGGGGGCTTGCCCGTGCATTCCCCCTCTGTGCCGGAATGTTGACTGGCTCCATTCTGTGCAGATCCTGTGTGGGTCTTATGCAGGCAGCCATGGCTGTCATGAGTTCATAAGTGCCCCGGTCCTGTCATGTCCAGAAGACGGCGTTTGGTCTGGTCTTCTCTGACCTCTGACTCTTACGATCTGTCCACCCCCTCTTCCAAGTTGTACCCTCTGCTTTCAGGGAATTTCAGCTGTGTGGTTTGTGGCTGAGCACTCCCCCGACACCTTCCCTGCACGTTAGCTGGCCGTGAGTTCCTCGCTAACTTCCTCGGAGAGCTGCACGAAAGTATGGCTACAGGAATATTTCTTGAGAGGGGTAGCCCGGTACTATGTCCATTTAGCTGCCAACATCATTTCTCCACGTCCTGTACAAAAGTGTGTCGCCGTAGGGTCTTACCGTCAGGTTCCGGTGGGCAGTCAAGAGCCTCTGTTGACTTGGGGGTCTCTGAGATACCCCAACCAACAATTCGAGTGGAGGTATCCCATAACTGGCACTGAGCTTTGGATTTGGCCACCTGTGGTTTATGGAAATTGCGTCATCTCCTCTGTAGGGTAGCTTCTATTAAACTCTTTTTTTTAATATAATTTTTTATTGGAAAAAAAAATTTCTGCCTCCTCCCCGCCTCCCATTTCCCTCCCCGTCTCCCTTTCCCCCCCTCCT